GCATTTTTCTGAGATGGCATCAAGAGGCTGCAAGCATCCGGCAGACACATTGTGCTATGTCTGCGGCCAATTTATCAAGACAAAAGCGAAAAAATACTCTGTGCAAGCATCTGCTAAGATGTGTGAGGCCTACAAGGCATATTTTGGCATGCCTGTCGGGGATCAAGACAAACCCTGGGCACCTCATTTCACCTGCGAGCAATGCAAAAAACTCTGGAAGGTAAGATGTTGCTCGGAATTTTATGTAATAAAATGTGTTTAAAAATTTAAATTGTTAAAGTTTTTAATTTAAAAATGTTTGACAATTTCCAATGTTATTGAAAAAATATATATGAAAAATTTTGCAAAAATCTCTTACACATTAATCATGGGTGAAATAAATGTATTTTTGTTGGATGGTACAGAGGGGAAAAGAGAGCCATGAAGTTCGCTTCCCAAGAATTTGGCGGGAACCCACTGACCACTCAAGCAGCTGCTGCGTCTGCATGGTGGACCCTTACAAACGTCGGACTGGCAGGAATGCACCTGCTATCACGTATCCGGACCTTCCTTCATCCATCGCCCCGGTGCCACACTGCCATGAGTTCCCTGTATCTACTCCTCCGGAGAGAGAGCAGCCGTCTTTAGAAGAGAGCAGCAAGTCAGAGAGCGAGGAAGACGTTGTAGATCCAGATGACAATTTCAGAGGTGGAGCTGAGGAGAGAAACCCATACTACCCCAACCAAAAAAGACCTCAACGACTTGATCAGAGATCTTGGTCTCACCCAGTCCAATGCCGAGCTTTTGACATCGAGGCTCAAGCAGTGGAACTTGTTGGATGAAAGTTTGCAAGTCGCAGATCAGAGGAAGCGTCACCAACATTTTTGCAGCTTCTTCACCCGTCAAGATGGGCTCTGCTTCTGCCGCAATGTGACCAGTCTGTTCGAGGCAATCGGAATTGCCTGGAACCAAAATGAGTGGCGCCTCTTCATTGACAGCTCATCCAGGAGCCTCAAAGCCGTGCTGCTCCATAATGGTAACAAGTACCCGTCTCTTCCCCTGGCTCACTCGGTGCATCTCAAAGAGTATTACAACAGCATCAAGACCTTGCTAGACGCCTTGAAGTATAATGAGTACGGCTGGGAGGTCATCGGAGACTTCAAAATGGTGGCATTCCTGATGGGTCTCCAAGGCGGTTTTACCAAGTTTCCCTGCTATCTCTGCCTTTGGGACAGCAGGGACACCAAGGCGCACTACCACAGAAGGGACTGGCCACAGCGGACCTAGTTCTCTGTGGGGAGGAACAACGTCAAGTGGGAGCCACTGGTGGACCCCCGGAAGGTGCTGATGCCACCACTGCACATCAAATTGGGCCTTGTGAAACAATTTGTCAGAGCTGTAGATAAGGAGTCGGCAGCCTTAAAGTACCTTCAAGACTTCTTCCCTAAGCTGTCTGAGGCAAAGGTCAAAGCCGGTGTCTTCGTCGGACCACAGATAAAGAAGATCCTGGAGTGCAATGAATTCCCCAAGAAGCTCACTAGTAAGGAGAAAGCGGCTTGGAATAGCTTTGTCGCAGTGGTTCGTAGCTTCCTGGGCAATCATAAGGTCGAAAACTATGTGTAGCTGGTTGAGACTTTGGTGAAGAACTACGGCACAATGGGCTGTAGGATGCCCCTCAAAGTCCATATCCTTGATGCTCATCTTGATAAATTCAAGGAGAACATGGGAGCGTACTCGGAGGGGCAAGGCGAGCGCTTCCACCATGATTTACTGGACTGTGAACGCCGCTAACAAGGACAGTATAACGAGAACATGATGGGAGACTACATTTGGGGGCTGATTCGTGAATTTGATTTACAGTATAATCGTAAATCTCGAAAAACGACTCACTTCTAAATCTTTTGTAGTAATTTTTGTAGAAAACTTTAATATAAATACATGTTAATTTTGATTCATATGTTTTTTTTTCTGACTTTATGTGAACGAAAAGACCCAAATTCGCCCGTTTTCTCATTGAAAATAGGTACATTTCAAAATATCACTGTCCGGGTCATAAAAGCAAAGTTTGTGGGGAATAATAGCCATTTTCTATACTTTTTAGGCATAAGCAATTACGAAATAGCACTTACTACCCAGGAACAAAAATTGTGTTACATAGTGAAATCAATGGACCTGTGCAATCATGAGAAATCCAGAGGCGGGGTGAAGCTCTTCCCCTCACGGCGTCCTTGCCCAGCAACCAGAGCTGGGCCCTTACGAATTCAGGAGAGACTGGTAGCAGTACTTAAGGGACGAAGAGTTAGGGGGAGCCTGCCCAAGACATGGTGTGTGCCAATGTTATATCCAGGAGAAAGGAGCAAATAGACCAGAACAAACGAGACACGGCATAAGAAACAATACAAACGAGATGGTAGCAAGAAAGTGTACTTCTTGAACATACTTGTGACAGCCGATGACATCGCTGAGGGCAGGGCTGGATTATCCTCGTAGCAAAAGTAGCTACATATGCTACGTTTCCCGCACTTTCAAGGGCCCCGCGCGAAATGTTTTCAAGCTATCAATTCCGGTTCAGTGATTCTGCACTTGCTCGATTATTATAGTACTATACTGCCTTCAACTTTTATGCACAACTGGGTGTTTAAGGTTAGCGATTTTTCGTATTATCTGGCCGTATAGCAAATGAAAAAATACAATTACTTTACTATGCAAGTACAAAATTTGTGTTTTAATATGTACGTGTTTTTAATGTAGGGCCCCTTTATAACATATACTACAAGCCCCGCACTAGCTCAATCCGGCACTGGCTGAGGGGTCAATCATTATGTATGTATTTTGAACTTATTTCGCACCGTACGTAGCCAACCGTGCTAATCGGAGAGTGCTTATTTATGTTAATCCGTATCCACAACCGTGAACAGAGCCGTGGTCTTTAAATTGTTGCCTTTGTTGACAAGAGTACTTAATTCAGGCATTATTACAAAGGTAACTTCATCACTGTGCATTACTGCGAAGCAGACACACAAGCGTGCGCCCTTATTGGCACACCTCCTGGAAAATAGTCTCACAAAATTGGCACAACAGTTAAACTACCATTTGGAAAGGTAAACCATAAAAGCTCAAGTTACATACGTGAGTCAATACACCAAAACACATAAATTAATTATAATACGAAAGGGGCTGGAGTTCTCGGGCGCAGTGGAGAGCGCACTGCACTGCGGTATTAATTAATCCAGCAACCTGGATTTGATTGTTGGCCACGGACTGCATTAGTGGAAAGTGATTTCTGAACTTCCTCTGCACACCCCCTTTACCAACAAAAGCGCTCGTCAGCGTTGTGAAGTATGGCCAAGTCTCATGGCCAACATCTTGGGAACACCTTCAAATAGCTGGAGATTGTCAAGTACATACCTGCCTTTGACAGTAAGACCTTGACATTATTGCAGCTTGCCTACCAAGGTTGAAGGCGTTACAGCGTGAAATCATTGAACTCTTGTCAATGTGTTCGTCCGTTCGCACGTATACTTTTTGACACTGAGCTCTATAGCTCTTTTTCAGAAGAGACCTGACCACAACTGATAGCTCAACGAAAGTGGCTTATCATGTGGAAATGTATAGCGGCCAAACATTCTAAACGCATGTTTCTATATGTGGAAGAAAAAGCCGAAGGATCCGGATAAAAATCCACGCGACCTCAGGGAGAGAGACACGCAAACTCCATATATGCAGGCGTCAGGTTCGGGATCGAATCCACGACCTCCTGTATACCAGGTGAGGTAGTCAACATCTCGCCAACGGTGGCAACAAACAATTCAGCGCTAAATAAAGAAGTATTATTGGCCAATGCAATAGTGTCACAACGAAAAGTGCGTGCTTCTCGTTGATAGTATTGATTGTGATGTCTTCTTACAACATCATCTCTTTGTGGCTTGAAATATAACAGTACCATCATCATCCATGATCAATTCACTGTTGGACGAATACATCTCTAAGCTGCCGCCATCCCCTCGGATTCTGCAATGTAACGATTCACCGAGTAGCTGCATGATCTCATTTAATCGCTCCGTCTCCATCATGAATTCCCTCTTGGATGTGTTTCATCTCTTGGCTGCCACTCCGTCAATGTCCGACCACTGGTCATCATCTCTTACAGCGATGTGTCCTGCACAAGCCCACTTATTTTACTGATCAATCAAAATCATGTCTTTAATCTGGGTATGTCTTAGGATCCATGGGTTCCTCTTTCTGTCTCGCAATGTAATTCCATGCGTCTTGCACACTCTCTCTCTCTCTTGAAACTTTCCAAGATTTGCACACTTTTACATTTCATTAATGTCAATGTTTCTGATCTATGTCAGAGCAGGTAGTTCTGAAATTCATCATTGTACTTTCATTCATACTTTCAATGACAGGAGCACGTTGGAAAGCATTTTAGAAGCCATCCTTACGCATGGCTTACAGTATCTGGTGGACCCGAATCGCATGAGAATAATTATCTGACCAGGGTTTGGCGAGTGGGGTGTAACCATGTTAATTGTTAAAGCAGCGTTTCACCTGGGGCTGGGTTCACTCACAAAGACAGAGAAGTAAAACATATAATTGGGTGACTCTGCGTTGAGTATTAAAATACTTCGTAAATTAGTGCTGTTCAAAGCACTTATACTGACCATAATAGCACCGCTATGCAGAGTTTTTGCACTCTACATTTTATACAAAAAGCATACCATGTCTAAAAAAAACCTCTTAATTGCAAAAGCAACGTTTGAGAACGTCATTCTTTAATGCCATTTTACACACTGGTATTGGGGAAAACAATGTGAACAGGGCAGGTGTGTGCACACCGCCCCACTCATCCCCATTAGTGGAATGCCCCTTACACTGACCTCCGCATACAAATTGCCGATTCATATTTCCCACTGGGTTAGAAGTGCACGCAGCTCTCCATGCATGGCAGCGAGCCCGGATTTAGTGCGAGAGGGGGGATGCATTCGTTGAGGGCCCAAATTACCAGAGGCCCAAAAAGAGAAATAAAACATATGTATTTATTATAATAATAAAAAAGTCAGACTCTTAATTAATATTATAATTTTAAGATGAACAATACAAACAATACGACCGTAATGCTACCTTCATTAGGCTATTTTAATTGAATCCTCAATTTTTTCCCCAACTGCCACATATTGCATTGGAGTGTGTTCCAGCAGCAAGGGTTAGGGATTTGTGTAAGGGAGGGGGCCGGGAGGGGGGGGGGTCTTTTCCTCGCTGGTGTCCTGTGGGCAAAGATGTCTTACGCAAGCCCTGGATGTGTTTATATTCTGCATCCACTAATTGTTGAATACTTAAATGCCTTTCATCGGGAAAGTTTCAAAACAAAACAAAAATCACTGGAGCAAATACGGAGTGAAGTGTCCACTGGTTCACCCTCATTCCCCACAGCTGCCCATTGCATTTTCGAACTTTTATTCCGGTTTTGTCGGTGTGAACTATTTTGGATACTCAGAATAACACGAACTTTTGGTGCTCCTGTTTCAGGTGGTTACTGGCCGATATCGGTTTTGTAGACTAAAACACGGCGTTCATGACGCCATATACGTTTAAAACCAGTTTTCGCATAGGCAGACACCCAGGTCTGGAATCTTTCACCATTTCAGTCAGAGGGGATGGAAGGAGGCCCTTGCCACCTGTGCCGGTTGTCCCAGTATCGTCCTTGTTGTGAACTACCCGTCCTGGGAAATATGTGAGTCTTCCGAGAACATTAAAAGTCCCGGTCTTGTAAATTGCATAAAAAAATACACAACTCACACTTACATGTCGTTCACCTCTGCCGATACTGTAAAATATTCTTCTTGCCATAATATTTAGTTATTTTGAAGCCCTGGAGATGGCAACCCTAGACGGAGCTACCGTATGTTCAGCTCCCGGTGTCATCTCCTTGCCTCCTTTTGTGACGTAATGTCTTTACCGCTTATTACGGCAACATTGCACCTAAACATCTCATTAGTAACTCGGAATAATTGTGTTGAACCCCTCCACCATTGGGCACCTTACGGATAGCTGGTGTGCGGCCATCGCTCACTGAAGGTCGATCAATTCAACATCAACTTCACATCCAAGCCGCCTGGCAGTGCAACCATCACGCTCATTTATATATATCTATTTTTTTTAAAGAAATCCAAACAAACGAGCCATTTTAAGTCAGTGCAGAATCTATCCTCAGCATCTTACTGTCTTTGAACACGCGTTAGATCTGAGATAAAAAAAAAAAAATCTATTTACAAAAACTCCAGAATTCGAGCGCAACACAAAGTTCGTTTCCGGCGAGCTGCTGCCGTCGCACGCGGCTCAGACACACAAGCGGAGCGCTGCTACGCCCCGGGCTGATGGTGCCGCAGCCGCACCGCCTCCCGCAAGTCAGCCGGCACCGGCGGAGAGGCCGCCTCTATGGCACGGAGTCCCCGACGAGCTTCACCTTGGGGACGTCGAGTCCTCGCTTTTTCCTCACGTGGTGTATCCTCGCCGCCTGCGAGCACGCGCAGAGAGCGGACGGAGCGTTCTGTGAACCAGGGTAACTCTTTATCCCAGCATTTTGCTGTCGCAGGTCGATGCCCGATGTCGCTCGATCGCTCGATTGGCACGTCGTCGAGTTCAATCACACCTGCCAAGTCCACCTTCGAGCCGTCGCCACCGCCAGGGGCAGACCTCAACAAAGTGGCCGGCTGTTTGGGTGGGCAGCACCGCAGCCATGTGTAGTAGGTTTAACACATCGGCTTTCGCGGGACCAATATTATCCATAAGAAATTATATTGGTCGCTGAAGTAGTAACTAATTGGCACGTTTTGTTTACGTGACAAAGCTTACTAATGGGCTGTGTCAGGTGGTGGCGGGTTGAACGACACATTTATATTCACGCGATCTAACCCAAAAAAACCTTTATTATGGACGGGTTAGCAAATCAGCGGGCCAAATCAACCATAACCTTTTAAATCTTCATAATCTGCATTGAAAGCTAATTTATTTAGAACTGCTTATTGTGTTTGGTTTGTTGTCCTTCCCCCGCACCTCTGGCTAGCACGGTTGGCTATGCACGGTGCAGAAAAAAGGTTGAACATACGTACATAGCCAGGCCCCAGCCTAAGCCTGATGCAAGCCAATCGGGCTATCTGGGGCCTATACGCACGTGCAACCGATTTGTAGTGGAAGTAAGTTAGTGTTACAGCCCGTGTGGAACTGTACACAAGACAGGAGCAGAGGTGGCGCAGTGGTAACATGTGTGCCTCACAGGAAGAAGAGCCTGGGTTCGATTCCCAACTTGGTGCCCCTTTCTGCATTTGTTTGTGCTTCCACGATGTTCTGTGTGGGTTTCCTCCGGTGTCCTCCCATAGCTACAACTATTCATACAATGCAACTGGTATTGGCCAAAACATCGCAAGACCGAAAAATTGTACATCTGCAAATTACTTAATTGGGATTACACGCAGCAACATCGCCCCCTCCCGTGTAAAAAAAACAACCTTGCAGGACCCTCCTGAACAAGGATCTTGAGGCTCAGTGAGGCTTTCCTGGGTGAACAAGCAGAGTAGTTAATACTTATAAGCAGAAACCTGTTGAAGTCCGAAAACAATGCTCGTGATTTATTTTAAACGATCAGTTGATGTCGATTGTTGATGCCAAGTCCACAAGAGCCTCGAGGTATGAATTCGATGCATCCTTGGCAGAGAGTTTGTTTTAGTCACGATTAAATTTTGCTTTGCCATCAGTTTTGCAAGGAGAAAAAATGAAACAGCTGACAAAACGGGCAATGTACCGCGAAAGACAGCACGCACGCACAACGATGAGATTGCAGATCTTAATCTAATCTCAACGTGAGAAAAATCCCTGACACGTACGTGTTTCATTTCAGCACTTTTTTTTCTGTTAAAAAAACAACACAGTCCGTGCAGTGCTTCAAGCATCTTCATAGACTGAAACAGAGCGGAGAAGGGTGTGGGAGGTTTCCAGTATGGCCTCCTGAAGCAGACATGGAAATAATTCCAGGGGGCAGAACCTCCGATTCGACAAAAACAATTTCGACAGGGCCAAAAAAACACAAGCAGGTATGTAGCCGACCGTGATGGAAAACATTTCAAGCATCTTGCAGGTCAGCAAGTGTGCAGCAGCCCCGCCGGCGTAACCAATGCCACATCCCTCGGCATCAGTCGTCCGGTGAGGTGGGAGAAGTGAGGGAGCTACCTGAGGAAAGCAGACCTGCACTTGTGTACGGTGTGATCCCAGTGACCAAGCTTGAACTTCGGGCCACGCAGAAGACTATAGGCAACTGGCATTTGAACTTGGCCTTATCATACCCACGGCTTAATGTTTATTTCTTACAAAAGAGGAGCTGATGTTGTAATTGTACGTGCGTACGTGCGAGCGCATACGCACGTGGGCTCGTGGGCACACGTGTGTGCGCGCACGTGTGTAGTGATGCTTGCCTATGTGCCTTTACACACAAGTGTGTGTCAAAATGTGTATACATGCGTGCATGTGTGTGCATGTGGGGGGCGGTGGGACAGTGGTTAGCGCACTGCGCTACGAATCTGGCGACGCGATTTAGATTCCTGCTGACGGCCAACATCAGTGGCAATTATCTGAACCTGTCCTGGGCTTCCCCCAAGGTCGACTCAACCTTAAATGAGTACCTGGTGCAGTGTGTAAAACATCAGCACTGGGGAGACTAAGCCGGCTGGGAGTGGTCTTGGCTACCGACTCCTTCGTGTAACATCCTGGCCTTCACTGGTGCTTGCTAACAGCACTTTCCCCAACAGTCTGTTGAAGGCTACACACAGGGCGACCGCTGCCTTTGTCTTGCATCCGTGCGCGCACGCGTGCGTAAGCGTCAGCGGCGCTCGCGGGCGCGTGCGTGCGTGCGTGCGTGTACGCGTGCGTGCGCCAACCTGCATGAATAACTGGACGAGGAGGATGGCTCGGCACAGCAGCAGCAGCGTGAGGGTGCACAGGTACACGGTGTCGCCGGCGCCGCGTCCGGCCATCACCAGCCCGCCGGCCGCGTACGCCGTGAAGGCCAGCGCCGAGTAGCCGCAGCTGCCTGCGATTCCGGCTGCGGGGCACCCAGCGACAGATGCGCAAGTGGTCTCGACAGCACGCGCGGCGCGCACGGCGCCACCGACCAGCTCAACCATTCAGGTCACGATGCTGTTCGTGTTAAAGGCAGCGGCGCAAATGGGGTGCCGGCCCTCACGTCGAGGCTTGTTTGGTGGCGTAGGCATTGAGTGGGGGGGGGGGGGGGGACAGGGCCACTGGGCAACGAAGGTCCCAGAGGTGCCCCGGGCCTATGAAGGGAGGGGGAATTACACTCGGACCCATGTCAACCACACTACGCCACCGGTGGTAATATGTTTTTCTTTGTATGTAAGTATGTATGTATGGGTTTTCTCTGAGCATTTAGGTTATCTCTCACCGTGGAAAAATAGGACTGTAATATGCTAACTGCCCAAACAATCTCAATCGGGAGCTTCCCATAGATTAGTCCACAATGAGGCTTCTTGTCGGTAAATAAACAGCTGACTATTATAACACACACACACACACACAGCTGTTAGGTCAAACATTTAAATCCCTGAATAGGCTCCTATTATTGTATTCACGAACAGGAGAAACGCTGGATTCAAGTTCATGAAGACATTCTAAAATCATCTTGGCGTCGAAGTTTACATTCTCCCATTCATAAATTGAATCATAAAATGTCTCACGAAAATTTTTACTGAATAGGCCTGCTGGCTTTTTTTTACTGATTGAAAAAAATAATTTTGGACGATTCTGAGAAAAAATTTTTTTAAATGTTTGACCTTTCTGGTCCAGTATCCTCAAGGCAAGAACCACGCAGGATACTGCACGATGCTGCACGGCGACACCGTTCACAGTTGAAACTCGAATCGGGTTTAACAGCGTGCATTTTGTCGTGTATCCGTACATAGCTACGTGTGAATTATTTGCCTAAGTGTGCTTGTGTGTCATTTATGGCGAGTGGTAGTGCAGCATTAGTGCGCTGCGCTACGAATCCAGCGACCAGGGTTCGATTACTCCTCACGGTCAATACAAGTGACGATTATCTGAAACTGTGTCTGGGCCTCCCCTAGGTCAACTCAAATGAGTACATGGTGCACTGCGTAAACATCGCCACTTGGGAGATAAAGGCAGTCGGGCGTGGTGCTGGCCAAACACCACCTTGTGTGCTTCGCCGGCCTGAATAAGTGCTTGCTAACAGCACTTGTCCCAATAGTCTGTCTAGGCTATACGGGGGATCTTTGTCTTCTTTGTAATTGATGGCCGCCCACCCCCTTGTATGCCGTGCCGGCCTTCATAGGTGCATGCTAACAACACTTGCCCCAGCAGTCTGTTAAGGTTACACGGGGGACCTTTGTCTTCTTTGCCATTGTGTGAATTACTCCGCTTCATTTGACATTTTCACCACCGGTTGGAATCGCTCACTCACACCTGTCACAGAGAAGTCATTCAGCTCTCGATAAATCTGCATCACGTCATCCGGTCGGTGACTATGTAATTTCTCAAGGGAAAGCACGGGGAGTACCCCTCCGGCGAGAGAAGCCCTGTTTGTACGCCGGCACACAACGGCACAATGTTGTGGTCGGCTATTGGTTCAGTCTCTGATATTTTTACGTGTGGATTCTGGGCAGGCGGGTGCTGGACGGGCACGATGCGCACTTGAAGACTGCGCTCGCATCGTGAATGCGACATTCACAATGCACATACTACTAGTGCAGCCCTATTGCCAATCCACTGCTGGATGTGGGTCTTCCCATGCCGTGCGGGTCACGCGAGTTATTTTGATTGCGTTTCGCACCACGGTGGTGTGAGCGCAGCCTGAAGGTAGGTAGCATAGATGCAGGAACACAGAAGGACATTATGACAATGTTTTTTTTCCCGCACCTCCGGTGAGCATGGTTGGATACGTACGGTGCGAAAGAAGTGCACTGCCCCCTTGCTGCCCACGAGACAGCTGAACAGCCTACAGCGTACTGATGATAATTTGTGACGGTCACCCATCCAAGCACCGGTCAGGCTCAACCCTGGATCAATTGCAATCCAAGCTCAATTACCGTACATCACCACGAATGCTGTCGCACGCTCAACTGCCCATCCAGAGCCAAATTTCCAATGTCGTATTTAAGATTTTGCAAGTTGCTTTAAGGCCAAAGTTTGCCTAAAGCCACACGATGACCCGATGCTACGACCATGTGCATCATTGCCTTTAAATGCAGGTAAAAATACACGCTTGCTACATGCTTCCGAGAAAATGAAGCAATACTTGCAAGTTTTGTAGCTTAATGGAAAATTTGAGGGCAGGTTCAGGGGGCCGACATATTTGGGCTGGTATTTTAAGAGCACGCGTTTGCATGAAGGATGTAACGAATGGTCACGTTACGTTTAATGGCACTGCTATAGTTTCAGTGGAGTGACGGTTTGCCTTGTAGTTTTGCGAACGTGCAATGGCAAGGCATGAAAGTGGAAGCTATTATCAGGGTTAGGGTTGTGAACAGGTTAGAGTTAAAATGTGAGATTTATTTATCGAGGGAAGGCAAAATAAATCTGAAGACTCTTTTTCAGAAGGATCCTGCGTTGGGACATTTGTCCAATTTCATCAATCTCAGAAGTAGCTCTGTGATATATCCTTCCGCTGACCATTCTCAAAGGCACGGGGTGATGCACTGCTCGCTGTGAGAATTTCAAATGGACACTTTGTCACGTGACGTTATGGCAACGGCCGTTTGAATAAAAGTGGACAAAAAAATCCATAACATTTGCATGGATTATGTAACACTTTGCAAGGTGCATTTGTCCTTATATTTGTAGTACTGAGGGTAGCTGTCACGGAAACACGCGCTTTCATATTTTCAAATACCTTTTGCCTCTGGTTTATGCCCTCCAAGTGTTGCAAAACTCTGACAGATTTGTCTAGTTTTCACTCTCTCTGGGAAGTTCATATTAGCAGCACTGCGTTATACTCATGTTTAATTCATATTGGATCGTCTTTACAGCACCCCCAAACCTCCACGTTACAGACGCTTTCAACCTTAGTTGTAAAGCGTAACATCAAAACGGACACACACACACACACCTCCGATTAGCATGGTTGGCTACGTATAGTGTGGAAGAAGTTCAACAAGGACAAAGATCCCCCGTATAGCCTGTAACAGACTGTTTGGGCAAGCGCTGTTAGCGAGCACCTATGAAGGCCGCACAGCACACGAGGGGGTGGGTGGCCAGCACCACGCCCGGCCGCCTTTGTCTCCTTATTGTTAATGTTTACACATCGCCGCAGGTACTCATTTGAAGCTGAGTCGACCTAGGGGAGGCTCAGATAATAGTCACTGGTGTTGGCCGTGAGCAGGAATCGAACTCGGGTCGCCGGGTTCGTAGTGCAGCGCGCTGACCGGTGTGATACTTCTCCCCGCAACACACACACACACATATACAGTAAGGCAAAACGATGGAATGTAGCAGGGCTGGGCACACGCGAGGCCTAACGAAGTCTCGCTAACTTCAGTGACGGGGGTGGTGGTGGTGGTGGGGGGGGGAGGTGGTGGTGGTGGGTGGGGGGGTGACACCTGTGTAGGTGGCGGCGTCGATGACGAAGGGGTCCTCGCCGGGGTCGCGCACCCTGCTGCGCCTCGTGGGCAGCGTCAGCTTCGTTCGCACGAACCAGAACTCGGCGCACATGCGGCACCCGGCCAGCGCCGCCAACGTCTTGGTCAGCACGGGCAGCACGTGCAGGGCCAGAGCCAGCGTGGGATCCGGGTGGCCGGGGTGTGCCGCGGGATCCGGGGGGCCCTGCTGCGGCACGGGCTCCGGGAGGCCGGGCTGCATTCCGAGGGCGGCCAGCGGCACTGGCGGTGGATGCTGCTGCGGCGGCGGCGGTGGCGGCGGCGGTGGCGGTGGCTGTAGCCGGGAGAGCGGCGGCGGGGGCAGCGGCTCGTCGAGCGCGGCCACCAGCGCGCTGATGCCGCACGCGCCGCAGTAGACGCAGCAGACGCCGGAGCACACGAGCAGCGACAGCCACGCTGTTGTGCACGAGCGGTGGGGGGGGGGGGCGGGGGGGGCAGGGCGACACGGGCAGGCAGACGAGGCAGAGCTCTGGCTGGAGTGCAGCGGACGATAATTTTTGGTGTAATTATACAGACCTATACAGCACGTAACGACGCAATGCCCACTCCGCAAATGTGAAGGAGACATCACGGGGGATACACTCCACTGATCCTGACACGGCTATCAGTATGCGACTGTGTTCATCCAGAACGGACCGTGTACAACGTATAACGGTTCAATGCACGAGCCACAAATACGAAGAAGCCATCATAGCGATGATACAACTCTGCTGCTCCTGGCAGCGTTTATCTGGGCTCGACCACCTGAATGTGAAATTGTAGTCGTTGATCTGCATCTACGTCAACCATATGAAAGAAGAAGAAGATGATAATAACGGCAATATTCAATTATATGCCCTTGTCAGTGCACCGCTGGGTGAAAGTTATGTCCGTGCCATGCCAGTCGTGAGCCCCATCGAGTGGAGGGCCCTTCGGCCAGCCAGGAACCACAGGGCTGTACATTATTCAGCTTCTACCTCTACCGTGCCCGAGCGCCGTGAGCTCTGGTTGTCCCCCTGCTCGTGCGACACAGCACGGCAGCTGACTCGTACATCGGTTCCACTTCGCCGGCTCTGTGTGGACACCAGTTTGTGGCGCTCCTCTATGGTGTGGGGCAGTCTTATTGTACACGGCTACGTGCAGAACCCCTTGTTGATATTCCACTGCTTGGGTCGGTTGGGGTTATTTGATTCAAATAAAAAAAACTTCACCACTCCGGTCAGTGCAGGTTGGTGAAGGCGGGGAGAATAAAGTTGACAACAAGAAAGTACCGTACAATAAATAATATAAATATATTTTTAAACTTTTTTTTAGAAACACGCTTTAATGAAATGTACCGTACTTGCAATGGAAGAACTCCACGACTCCAGGAAGTGGCCCCGAAGCTTGCCACGACGTAAAGGGGGACCGTGGCCAATTACAGCCAAGGTCAGTTGAGCGTGAACAATTAGAGCCAAGCCGAAACATAACATAAAAAAATTATGTTTTAAAATATATGTTTTTTTTATGATAGACTATAGTATTGACATGAGTATACCAAGATTGTAGTCGATACCACATTGGGAAGTGGGTAAAAATTGAGTTGGAAGATTTGAGGATACAACAACAGACAGTGATTATGAGACCTTCTTTGCCAGAAACAAGATATAGGAATAGGTTTTACCCTTTTAACTGGCACAAAAACTGACACCTTTATTCAAGGCATCATGTTTGCAATGACCACAACACAAGCAGTCAAAATGCAAACAAAAAAGACAACTCTGATAATAAGAGTTGTGTTGTGGTCATTGCAAACATGATGCCTTGAATAAAGGTGTCAGTTTTTGTGCCAGTTAAAAGGGTAAAACCTATTCCTATAACAGACAGAGTTAATAAAAAGCGTGTAATAATGATAAAAATAGGATGTTATTGCACTGCCCTTTGTTGATAATAGAGTCTAGCAGAAGCCTACAACACCTGTTAAGCATTGTGGTCACCCGCCAAAGGACTATTTCCAGGCCCCATCCTGCTAAGCTGATGGAATCTGACTAGATCGGGTGCATTCTGGGTGATCGGGTCAGAGACGATGTCCGTGTCTACATTACAGTGCCATAAATCATCAACAATTCGACTGCCATGAAGTGGTACTCATATCATTGACCCCAAATGGGTGATGTTTCTCACGCACTGAATTCACAACCTTCTGATCGTGATGAGCTCTCTAACACAGTGACACTTAGGGACTGCCTATTAATGTATGTATTGATAAATGACCGTAGCAAAGTAGGGAACCGTTTATCGTTTCCAGTGGAATTTTAGTGACGCACGCATGGACTGGCACACACGAACATACAAATAGGTGTATTGTGGTTTTATGCGTAACAAGAGTGAGAATAGGTGTATTTAGTCCCGTGTGTAACGGTGTTGCGTAAAGTGTAGAATAAAGTTGTTGCCTCCTAAATAGTGTCTCTGAATGACTCAGTACACTTGCGTAAAGGCCATAAATCATAAACATAATAAAGAAATAAGCTGTTCTACCAGCGGCCATTCATATATTATAAATAATTAATTGAATTCATATTTTACAGCACTTTGCAAATCCGCTGTTGGATGAAGGCCTCGCCATGTTGTGTCACAAGGATTGTTTGCTGGTCGGTGCAAGGTTGCTGAAGGGAGGGGAGAGTTTCCAGGACTGTTTCAGATATGGCTCGCCAGTGAAAATAGAATCCCAGTTTGCCATGTCCCCCTCAGTTATGTGTTGGCTTTTAAATGCTATTTTTTATAGTAAATACGACAAATAAATTATTGGCAGGGGCACGTATTCACCAAGGTCTATGCAATTATAAATATCTTGGAAATGACCCTTTCTTAAAGATCTATCGACGTTTATTGTTGTGCGGGGAATATAAGTGAGGGTGCGTGTCAATGCGATTGTGCTGACGAGAGTTGGAGTGGTGGCACAGTGGTTAGCACAATGCACTCTGAACCCGGTGAGCTTGATTCCCGGGTGATATCTGAACCGGTCTTGGTCGATCACCCAACCCTTAACCCACGCACACTGACCAACGTGGTGAAGTACGTACGGTTAACAAGTCCCCATGACCGGCAAAGCTTGAGAAAACTCTCATCCAGCAGTGAATTGCTAAAGGGCTGTAAATTATAATGTTTTTGAAAGTGCTTCTGGTGAGCACCTATGAAAGTCGACATATTGCACGAGGGGGTGGTGTGGGCAGTGCCATGCCCGGCCACCTTTGCCTTCCCAAGTGCTGATGTTAATACAACACACCGGGCACTCATTATTTAAGGCCGAGCAAACCTAACGGCATCCCAGAATTCGTTATAACTTGCCGCTGATGTGAGCTATGGCCAGAAATCGAACTTAGGTCACCGGATTCTGAGGCCCAGCTCCCTAACCATTGCGCCACCAATCCACCTGCGCAACAACAACAGCTACCATTCTCCACTCAGTAATGCTGTTCGTCAGCCAGAGTGGATTGTGCCAAGCTGGGTACACTTTGAGGCCAGGTAAAGTGTCGATAACTCACTGGCAGGAGGAGGCGTCTGGACAGACCGCAGGTGCTGCGGGATGAACTGACTGAGATGACTGACAGATTCACACACGCGCACGCATGGACAGGATGGCGGTAACCGGTAACCGGTTTTCCCAAACACACCGCCCTGCGGCTAACCCGTCAGGGTTCTCATTCCTCCACATTTCCGCAGAGCATCTGCCAAAACCGTTCCCTCTTCGCAGAGGCCCAGCAGAAAGTTGTATCCGTCCGTGCGATTATCAAACGGAGGGCCCTCCTCTCAAAACTACCCGACTCCCCCCACCCCCACCACATTGCCCCCCCCCCTCCCTCCTGCCGCACGTCACAACGACACAACACGTTGCACTCCGTGAACCAAAGAAGCTCTCACAACCCTAACGATTATTACGCAAAACCACCAGTTCCTGAAGAACTGCATTGTGGTGATCTTGTCTTCATCACCATCAACAAATTGAGCAAATGTGGCAGACCAACAGGTAGCAGTGAGACGAAAACATCGCTGCATACTGGTGTCGTACTAATGAGGACTCACGTATACTGCACAGTCGCCAATGCTCGCTGCTGCCAAGGCTGCCTCGACGCACGTTAGGCCTGTGCTGTCGAAACTTTAAATTTTCGGGCCCTGCACTCACGTTTTTGTTCCGTTTGCTCTCCTCGTCTTTCACCGATTTGTATGAGAGAAATGTAGACACAAATATAGTAATGCGGTGAGATGAGAGAGGCGAGATCAGACAAGAGAGATGTGAGAAAGATTAAATGGCTATTTATGATACTGTAATTAGCTTGGTATGTGTATAAGGTATCTAAGTTGATGTTTGATGTACCCATATTTTTTTCATGACTTTCGGGGAGGGGTCCTGAGCTGCTTGGGACTCTATGCATCTGCTTGGTTTGTTTGGAGAACCTCCAAGGTGGCGAGATGTTAATTACCCCGCCTAGTATGCAGGAGGTCAGGGGTTCAATCCAGAGCCTGACGGTGCCTGCTGTGTATTTGGAGTTTTCATGTTCTCCCCGTGGTCGCATGGATTTTTCTTCGATTCCTTCGGTTTTTCCCTCCACGTTCAGAACCAACACGCATTTCGAGTATTTCGGCTGCTGTAAATTTCCACACGATGATAGGCCACTTCGTTTGAGCTATCATTTGTGATAGCCAGGTCGCTTCTGAAAAAGAGCTATACAGCTCAGCGGGCTCAGTGGGCCTTACCTGGTCAAGTAGAAAATAGTCAAGTTTTAGCCTCCGCCTACTCTGTGCTCACCCTCCGAGTGCTTGCCGTGCAGCCTGGTGACGCGGAACACCAGCAGCCCCGCCACGTACATCGCCTCCAGCAGGAACGTGCACAACAGCAGGAACAGCTTGCCGGTCACGAGCCCCTCTGTCCCGCCAAGCAATCCTGTGGTCCGGGCAAACCAATACATCAAACAGACGATAGCGGTGGCGCAGTGGCGGTTGGCATGGGCCCTGCTACAAGGAATTGGGGCTCCCGGCCCAATCCCCCCCCCACCGCCGTCTTTGTAGCCCCAGAGCCTGGGCCCCTTCTGACCTCTGGTGCCACGGTGCAGTTGTACCTCCTGCACACTCGATAGCTACGTCAGTGATCAATCGGTCAAGGGATATATCTGATGAAACATGACGACGGTGAATTACATAATCACTGTAATTGTTTAAAAAAAAAAGTTACATGTATTTGGTGATCCTGCACCAGCGGTGGAATTTCCACATTCTTAGAATCAAAATCTTTATTTATCCTGGAGAAATCCGATGAGCTATGATGCTCTTTTTCACAGAGGTCCAGTAGGGGGATGGGGTCAGAACGTTACATCAACAAATAATACAATAAACGATACGAATGCAAAGTATAGAAAAGGTAAGCAGATCACTAAAAATAAATACGTACAATAGATAAAGTATATAATACGTTCACATTGCATAAGTACACCAATTACCAAGCTTGGTCCAGACAGCAAAACAACAGCAAGAACAGTACCATATCACACCAAGACAACAACACACAGTCGTCCCTCAATACAATTGCACTTCAAATTTGACAAGGGCAAGTATATTCATTGAACAAATGGTTGGATGATGGATTAAAGTTGAGCATCATTTTAACGTTGTAACTTTTCTATTGTGAGACAGGTGCTCTCACACTCCCACCCGGGCTGGATTCTGTCATTATTGGCCGCAGTTAAGTGTCACTTATGGGATTGCCTTCAAAATAATATTACACTGTCAACGTAAATTATTCCCATCAGATACAAAAAAATATTTAAAAAAAAGTTAAAATATATATAATCGCTGGCCCGGCCTTCCTTTGTGAAGAAGAATTCCCACCCCAATTATTCCTCCCCTCTGAATTTTATCACGAAAAAAATCTAGAGTAATTATTGACTTACATGAGTATAATTATTTAAGTAACTGACGACTGTTAAAATAAAACAACATCATCGGTTTGCCACGCAAAAGATAATCTCAGTGGCAGCAATGCTTTCCCCCTCCCTCTCCCGATGGATCAAAAGTCCACTTCCACTCGGTACAAAAATTAAGTTCGTTACCTCCCCCTTGGTTTTTTTTTGCTGATGGAAAATGCTGAGCCTGCATCTTCCCTTCTGCGGGACCTCACGCCGAGCCAAACTCGCGGGCCAGTCCCTTCCCCCTTCCCTCGTGTGCCGTTCGTACGCCAAGGCCAACAGCACCCGTGGCGAGATACGGACTACAAAGCGTTTCGGACAAAACGATTCGTCGCAATCGAGGGCACTGTGAGAAATGCCGGGACGTGTCTGGAAGAGAGATCAGCGATTCAATGGACAGTTCCGTGAGTTGTAATTGATCGCTTGGTTTTTCGTTGCCGCGCTTAATTATTGACAATTCCGATTAGTTATTTATTGGGGTCCCGTTTCTCGTTGTGATGTATTACAAGCATCCACGAGATAAGAGGCGCAACCATTTTTGCATTCTCGGAATTCTCACACGGCCAAAACACCAAATTCCACTTAGCCAGAGGCATTGCCTCATGCTCTCGCGCCGCGTTATCTTCTGGATAACGATTCACATTCGTAAATTACATTCTAAAACAAATTATTAGTGCGGATGAGATGGGTGGAGGGGGTGTCTCGAACAGCCAAGCTTGGGACTAGGAGACAACGCGACAGCGCCTGTTAAATATTAGCCAGTTCATTGATGCAGACATTCACAACAATTAAAGTACGAGCCTAAAATATGTCATCATTGCGATCTCATTTCTGAGACTTTTTTTTCTTCTGAGAAACCAATTTGTTTTTTTTTTATAATAAAATTAATTCTTTGCTGCACTTTATTTGAATTTGCTTTTCTTTTGCCATTTTGGCGACTCTGAGACAACCCTTCCACATGCGACTCATCCTTGTCTCCTGAGTGCTTACCATGTTCAACAAAACAAACATGAAACTTTAATCCTGAGCTAGCCCCTTTGTTCCCGTGGATTGTGAAGATGATGCGCGGAGTTCCAGTGTTGTTCATTTTTAACGCGTTTTTTTCCCTCTCTCAAATCCATTATTATTGTTGTTGTTATCCATTCCTTGTGTTGTGCATTTTTTTCTAGCACGCTTCTGGTGCAAACTCTAATCCTCAAAAAGGGGATGGAGCAGCAGCTGAGTGGTTCTCACGCTGCACGAAGAAGCGAGTTACTAAAGTTAGATTCCCGGCCACAGTTACCATGAGCGGCGAGTGATACCTGAATTGGTCCTGGACCCACCACCCCTTTCATCAACACGCACTGCCCAGCGTGGTAAAGTATGGTTACAACAACGCCCACGACTGACACGGTGTGGAGAAACCCTTATCTAGCAGTGAATTGACAAAGTCCTACAAATTGTTATATAGTAATTATTACAGTATTATCGTAATAGGTTTTTACCCTTTTATCTGGCACCAAAACTGACACCTTTATACAAGGGATCATGTTTGCAATAACCACAACACAAGCAGTCAAAATGCAAACAAAAGAGACAACTCTGATAATAATTTGCACTGTCCTTGAAATTTATTGGTCCACACCCAAGACGGCTTTCTTAGAGCCTAGTCTCCACTGGTGTTGGACCAGATGACGCCAAAAGGCATACAACTCAAGGCAAAGGATGTCTCAGTCTAAATGCTTACCCCGAGCTCTCAATACTCTGATAGTGCGCTGTTTTTGAGTTGTACGCCTTTTGGCGTCATCTGGTCCAACACCAGTGGAGACTAGGCTCTAAGAAAAGCCGTCTTGGGTGTGAACCAATCAATTTCAAGGACAGTGCATATCATTATCAGAGTTGTCTCTTTTTGTTTGCATTTTGACTGCTTGTATTGTGGTTATTGCAAACATGATCCCTTGTATAAAGGTGTCAGTTTTGGTGCCAGATAAAAGGGTAAAAACCTATTACTATATCTTGCTACTGGCAAAGGAGGTCTCATAATACAGTATTATCCTTAAAAGAACTCCATACATTTCCTAAACAATATAACCACATACACACTGATCATTATAAATGATCAATCCCTAACATACATTGATATCACGGGCAGTAGTTGAATACTATACATTTAGTGGAAGCAGTGGTAGTCGATTAGCAGGTCACGTCGTGATGTTTCACCAAGTGTGGAAGAGTAGGCAAATACATTCCTCTAGAGGGGTTCTCTATGGAGTTTCCTCTCATGGAGACCCTGACGCCTGTATATTTGGAGTGTGCATGTTTTCCCCGTGGTAGCGTCACATTTTCTCCGGGTCCTCCGGGATTTCCCTCCACATTTAGAAACATGCGTTGAAAGTATATGACTGTTGTAAATTTGCACGTGATAAGGCACTTCGTTGAACTATCATTTGTGGCCAGATCGCCTTATCTGGTAAGATAAAAAAAAAATAGTTTCAAGGTGCTGCGTTCACCTTGTCCCACACAGGGACAGCTACCACAGAAGTGTCCGAGATGTCCCAGCGTACAGGGCGCTCTATCAAAAACAAATCATTCTTGTTCACCAACGTGCCACCACTCTGCTCCCCTTTACGTAAATCCAACGTGTATGAATTATAATAATTATACCATTTGTATTGTTATTCTTACAGCCTTGGTTAATACGTACGTGCTTCGCAATGGAGTTGGAAGCGGGTCCACTTGCCCCTGGACAAGGACAAAGCAAACTAATTCTGGATTGGCTGGCGGCGATTGAAAGAGGTTGCCACTGTAAGTCTCGACTTTCAAAACTACCCGAGGTATCCACCCATTTGCCATCTTTGAGAGCATAACAAAGGAATGGCGACTCCCAGTGAGGTGGTCGGACAGGATTCCTCATTGCTCTGTCCATCTTGATTTCAAGACAACAAATATTCCTTTCGAATTGAATGTTAAGAAGAGTAAGTGGGCTTGGGCCCAGCGGGACGTGCCGCCTGAAGGCATGATGATCAGCTGGTCGAGACTAACTATGGAATGTCGACCAGTGGAGGGAGCGCGTTAGAAAATGCATTCACTGCGGAGATGGAGCAATGAGATCGGCTCGTGTGCAGATGCGAGAGAGGGATTGTAAGCATTGCAACATCGTGAGTGCCGAGCGGAACAGAAATGAAGGGCAGGCCAGAATAAGATACCACCTGGCACTGGTGCACGTGATCAGCATCTTGCGAGGATAATCCCGGGTTAACATGTATTTTAAGGTTGGACGAAGCTCACCTCTGTTTGCGCATCCCATTAAACCGTACCTGATTACCGTGCTACGCATAGGCGTTTGTCCCACTCGGCGTGAGAGTCATAATCATTTTAGGTAAATGTACAGATTGGTCCAGATGTCTCGTGACACATTTTTAATCATCCAAAACTTTTTTTAAAAAGTAAGATTTATTTAAAACATAAATAAATACGCAAAGGGAAGTTAGTTTAGGGGTCAATTAATCGGGGGTCACAAGATATCTGGACCACGTTGTACACAGCCATTTTAGGACATATGTCTGGCACGAGATTTGTTGCTACTATATCTAAATGCAAAATACGGTATTTATGTTTGATAATCGAAAACATTTAAATGCAGCATGTTTATAAAAAAATTACATGTTCAATATCTGTTGATTTAATGTGTCCGCGATTATCAAACCTAAAATTTCTTAGCTATTTTTACATGTACAACAAACTAAATATTTGTAATTCTTGAAAATAATTTAAGGCTGTCCATAAAATGAGGACATTAATTAATCTGTTTAACATGTTGTCGTTACTTGAGGATATATTAAGTAAGGTCAGGAAACGTGTTGTCCGTTTATCTCCATATATATAAAAGACAAAGTTGTGAATATGTGTGTTTGTTCAAAATGTTTAGCGTACTTCCCGACATACAACAAGCCTACGTGTTAAACGAACAAACTTGAAGTTTGCCATTTAGGGAACTTTCCAGACTGTACACCATGCAAAAAATATAAAAATACACTTTTGTTTTGGGGGGGGGGAGCTCAATAATGCATCTATTTTTTGCACTGCAAGTGAGCTGTGACGTAAAATCTGTCACGTGACCCACACACGTGGAAGCGTAACGCATTGTAGTGTAGCGGTTAGCGCGCCGCGCTACGAACCCGGCGACCCGAGTTCGATTCCTGCTCACGGCCACCACCTGTGACGATTATATCAACCGCTTCTGGGCCTCCTCTAGGTCGACTCAGCATCAAACGAGTAACTGCTCTGCTTTGTGAACATCGCCACTGGGGAGACAAAGGCGGCCGGGCGTGGTGGTGAATCCAAGACCCGGGCGAAGCCGGGTAGTACAGCTAGTGCACGCATATAAATGAATCACACAATACTGACAAATCTCATGCCGTACATCCAGGGGCGGAGCCAGGATTTCAAGCTGGGGTGACATTCAACAAATGTTAATTTCAAGAATGATTTAGAGAGAGTCAGGCTGTTGAACTTAGACGCCATCGGTTGGCGACACACTCTGACAATGCAGTTGCACGGAGTCCGCCAGACGGAGCGTCGTACACTTACACGCAGAATGTCACCCCTGTCACCCCCCCCCCCTGGCTCCGCCCCTGCGTACATCTCTCCAGCACATCTTCCTTACATTGTTTTTTTGAAATTGTCATTAGCGACTCGCATTCCCAGTTCAACTGCTCGCCGCACTCAAACGGCACTTGTGCGTGACAAACACGCGTTATCCAACTGGACAGAGAACCAACTGCTTGTAAAAAAATATATAAGAGTAGGTTTTACCCTTTCTGGCAATAAAACAAGAGGTGTTAAGATGTTCAAACACCAAATAGTAACCTTTTGCAAGGGATCAAGTACTGCATGAACCACACACGGTATCTGTGGTGAACATGCAAACGAACACGGCTCTGATAATATCTATGGCATTGTATTTGAAACCGATTGGCCTACATCAGAGACAGCGGCCTTATTTAGAGCCAAGTTTCTTGACAACCAACATCTTGTTGAACAAAAAATTCAATTTTATTGGACGCTTTGCCTTGACCGTAAACGCCGCAGAGTAAAGGTTCTCCAGCACAATGCGACGTGGCCGTTAGCGCGAGGTTTTTTTTGCCAGATGTTGCTGCTAACCCTGTCCCTCCACAGACTTTTTGGAAATACGTGACGTAAAGCAAGCGATCTATAAAAAATTTTTTACGGTCGCTTAGTCTGAAACGTTAAAATTAACCCTGCATTTTAACTGTGTGGTCTTTGAAGTGGACAATTAACGAATAACAAGCAGGTTTCCCTCGCTTTATGCGGGTTTGTGGGATTTCGCGTATATCTGATCGACCTATTTCCACCCAAAATTCGCTCTATGCGGTTTGAATTCACTCAGATGCGGCTATGTGTGTGTGTCCTGTGTGTACTCTGTGTACTGTGTGCGCTACTCAGCAGGCAGCTGTTTTATCATGCGGTTGGTTTCGTTTTGTGCGCCCTTTTCTTTGAATGCATCTACTACTACTACCACTACCGCATAAAGCGAGGGAAACCTGAACAGTATTTACATTTGCTCTTTTACGGCGATGCTACCGCGGTGGAGTGAAATAGTGAGCTCTCTGAACTTACAAATCCAGAGATCGACAGTTCGATTCGATCTCCCGGAGCGGCAGTTCACACACAATGCCTCTGTATGGGTACTCCCATTTCTTCCAAGAAGTCTGGGCCAACATGGAAGAATTGACCAAAATACCCCCTACAGCTACCTGGAGTGTGGAGTACCTTCCACAAGCAGTGGCGTGAAGCGTGCCATTGCAGGGCTGCACTTCTTCTTTCGGACGGTGGGGGGGGGGGGTTGCGACAGAGCCGGGGGGGGGGGAGGCGACGGAGCCGGGGGGGGCCGACGGCGCGAGCAGAGGGAGCCGACACTGACTCACTCACACATCATACACTGACTCACTCACACCATGCACTGACTCACTCACACATCATACACTGACTCACTCACACCATGCACTGACTCACTCACACATCATACACTGACTCACTCACACCATGCACTGACTCACTCACACATCATACACTGACTCACTCACACCATGCACTGACTCACTCACACCATGCACTGACTCACTCACACATCATACACTGACTCACTCACACCATGCACTGACTCACTCACACATCATACACTGACTCACTCACACAGCATACACTGACTCACTCACACCATGCACTGACTCACTCACACATCATACACTGACTCACACCATGCACTGACTCACTCACACATCATGCACTGACTCACTCACACCATGCGCTGACTCATTCACACATCATACACTGACTCACTCACACCATGCACTGACTCACTCACACATCATACACTGACTCACTCACACCATGCACTGACTCACTCACACATCATACACTGACTCACTCACACCATGCACTGACTCACTCACACTATGCACTGACTCACTCACACCATGCAGTGACTCACTCACACATCATGCACTGACTCGCTCATCATGCCCTTACTCACTCACACATACACTCGCACAACCACTGACCCATTCACCCATTATACACAGGTTCACTCATCGTGTGCTGGCTCATTCGCACATCATACACTCACTCACGCTGCTGCTGACTCACTCACACATCATACACTGGGAGTGTCGTGCTGCCAGCTATGGCTGCAGGTTTTGTCGTACGTTTTATGTATATCGTTTATTGTTAAATTTAAAATCACAGTTCCTATGATTACTGTTGTTCCATTGTTTTGATAGCTTTATTTTGGTGATTCGAAAACATGGTTAATCTAAATTGTCTTATGGTTGTTGTTGTTGGCTTGCACCACATTGTGATTTTGCACACAGCGTTTAATATTTTTTTGTGTGAAATATTTGCTGGTTATTACAGAATGTTTCTGTTACGCGTTGTCGCTTTAAGATGCTCTGTGTTCAAATTTTGTTTTGTTGCGGTTGCACCCGACTTAAGAGCCGCATGGCTCACAGGGCTATACCTAATAAATGAAACTTGAAACTTGATGGAGATGCAGAGCAACAACTACGATTTCACATTTGTGGATCGGGCGTTTCGTCGCTGTACGCTGTACGGTCTGATCCGGATGACCACAGTCGCACACGACCAAAACACAGTCGCACACTACCAACTGGAAAGTTTATAAGTTTCAATTTGTGCATCCCCCTGTGCACGCCTTACGGAGATCGCACGTGCACGGCCATCCCTTGAAAGCTTGGCAGCTTTGGGGCCTCCACTGTCGCGGCTGTGAAGCGAACAGCGCTGGCGAGAGGAGGTGACACGTTTCCTGAGAACAATGTTGCACAAACAAAGGGGATAGCGAGCCCGACGGTGGCGGCACGCCGTGACCCGGGGAAAGGCGTGTCTCTGTGTGTGTGCTGCGTTTGGGTCGGGATGACTCTTGCCTCTGCGCGATGCACAATGCAACCCACACCACCACCTGACACCCTTCCCCACCCGTCGTTACAGAGGGACACTGCGGTTCACCCGTGAATCACACCGAGCAACACCCCTCACAGCCTTTGTCTCCCCGAGTGGCTAACCGCTACACTACCACTCCGCACACCTTCCCTCCAGACACAACAGCACAACGTCACTTCCACACACACACACATAGCACGCAGCAGCACACCAACATTCTAATTTCACGTTTCACAGAACAAGTTCGGCACAGACGCGATGTACATTTTGTTTGCTGGTCAAACAACAGCGCCGTGAACCCGCCACCCCGAGTTCAAGTCCCGACCACGGCTAACTGGCAGCAGCGGCGAGTGACATTAAAAGTTAGAACCGGTCTTGCCTGGCCTTGGGTGATGCTTTCAAGGCCATAGCCATGGAGTCAACATTGGGGGGGACCAAATCTTCCTGGGTGTCTGGGGGTCCCAACCCAGAAAAAAAATCAAAATTTGAAAACTCATTTCCTGCCTAAAATATAAAAAAAAATCACTAACACATGGGATGGACTTTTAATTATATTTTTTTACAATAATGTCTAATAGTGTGTTGTATTACATTGCTCTGTTTTTACTTTTTTACCGTTTCTTGTTTCATTGTATGTAATGGCAGAGATTAGGGATTAATAAAGTACAACCATTACCACAATCATATAAACAGAAATCTATGCGTTGATTTATATGAAGACAAGTCTAGATATTGTGGTCAAGCTTTAGCAAATTGTTGTTTTTATTTACATAAGATAGCAATTTTTTTATAGCTATATATTGGGGGGGGGGGACATTTTGAGCATATTTAAATATTGGGGGGGGGATGTGTCCCCTCCAATATATATTATAATTACGGCCTTGATGCATTTCATACAACAGTGGATTGACAAAAGCGCTGTCAAATATTTCCTATGATCGAGGTCAGATTCGTGGGTTGTGACTGAAAAGACTCGAGGCATGAATAGTCACGCATCACCGTACAGTAAGTACATCGTTATGTAATTACATCGTTATGAAATTACAGCTGTGTGTTAGCAACCGCGAATATGGTCCCGCCTTGTCTGGTGATCAAATGCCTACTTTGGAATTCGTTAAAACTTCACAAGCAAGCGCACGTCCACCAAGAACTCAAAAGACTCTCTCTCACAGAATTTACTTACCTTTTCCCACAAAACGATGAACTCAATGTCATCCACATCGATATTCTTGATTATTTCGGTAAACTCACGTAGATAGAAAATAAAATAAAATAAACATATAACTAAATACAAAAAATAAAATAATACATTGAAAATAAACTTTATCTACGTGCCTTTACCCGAAAGAACCAAGAATATTAATCCCTGCAGTTACGAAAGTTTTAAGTCAAAATTCATCCACGTTGAGGTTGTTGCATTACCTGCAGGATGTGGTAAGGAGTTTGCGGTGCGCATGACGGGCTGCGCCCCTGATCCCTTGATCTCCAGCACGCGGTTCCCAACTGGTCCGGAACCTGGTCCGTCTTTCCAGCACCGGCTCTCGAACTGGTTACTTTCCTCCAGCACCTAGTCTTGAACTGGATCGAACCGGGTCCGTTTCTTCAGTACCTGGGCTGGAGCTGGTTCTGCATCTGCGGAGAGAAGGTAGCCCATTTGTGGCATCAGTAGCCCGGCAGATCCTCTACTCCATAGCCTGGGTGTAGCTATTGTTTGTCCAGAATGGTTGATGTATAAAGTAGCCTATGAGGCTCCTGCAGTAGTCTGGGTTCGCCCCGTACTGCGTGTGCAGCCGCTTATAGCTCGTGGCGCCTGCGCTGAGCTCACTGCCTCCTTCCTCCACGTGTCGACGAACTGAACTCGCAACAACTAAAAGCAATGCATGGTGGGCGCATAAGCAATGCCAACCGCTGAGACTGTGCTACATTCACTCAAACACACACACACTCACTCATATATTCAGTGATCGAACACATCTGACAGGAACTGCAACCCTACAACTAACGCCGGGCCGATGCTTGATTTTACCTGCGGGTTCTTATCTGTGTATTCTCACCTGTGCATTCCACCTTGTGTGTTTTCATCTGTACACTCTACCTGTGTTTTTACTTGTACAATGCACCATGTGTTCTTTTACCTGTACACTCCACCTGTGTGTTCTCACCTGTACATTCCACCCTGTGTGTTCTTTTACCCGTACACTCCACCCTGTGTGTTCTCACCTGTACGTGAAACCCTGTGTGTCCTCACCTGTACATTCCACCCTGTGTTCTTACCTGTACATGCCACCCTGTGTGTTCTCACCTGTACGTGACACCCTGTGTGTCCTCACCTGTACACTCCACCTGTGTCCTCACCTGTACATTCCACCCTGTGTGTTCTCACCTGTACACTCCACCTGTGTTCTCACCTGTACGTGACACCCTGTGTGTCCTCACCTGTATACTCCACCCTGTGTTCTCACCTGTACGTGATACCCTGTGTGTCCTCACCTGTACACTGCACCCTGTGTGTTCTCACCTGTACACTCCACCCTGTGTGTTCTCACCTGTACACTCCACCCTGTGTTCTCACCTGTACACTCCACCCTGTGTTCTCACCTGTACGTGATACCCTGTGTCCTCACCTGTACACTCCACCCTGTGTGTTCTCACCTGTACACTCCACCCTGTGTGTTCTCACCTGTACACTCCACCCTGTGTGTTCTCACCTGTACACTCCACCCTGTGTGTTCTCACCTGTACACTCCACCCTGTGTGTTCTCACCTGTACACTCCACCCTGTGTGTTCTCACCTGTACACTCCACCCTGTGTGTTCTCACCTGTACACTCCACCATGTGTGTCCTCACCTGTACACTCCACGCTGTGTTCTCACCTGAACACTCCACCCTGTGTGTTCTCACCTGAACACTCCACCCTGTGTTCTCACCTGATCACTCCACCCTGTGTTCTCACCTGTACACTCCACGCTGTGTTGTCACCTGAACACTCCACCCTGTGTGTTCTCACCTGAACACTCCACCCTGTGTGTTCTCACCTGTACATGCCACCCTGTGTTCTCACCTGTACGTGATACCCTGTGTGTTCTCACCTGAACACTCCACCCTGTGTGTTCTCACCTGAACACTCCACCCTGTGTGTTCTCACCTGTACACTCCACCCTGTGTGTTCTCACCTGAACACTCCACCCTGTGTGTTCTCACCTGTACACTCCACCCTGTGTGTTCTCACCTGTACACTCCACCCTGTGTGTTCTCACCTGTACACTCCACCCTGTGTGTTCTCACCTGTACACTCTACCCTGTGTGTTCTCACCTGTACACTCCACCCTGTGTGTTCTCACCTGAACACTCCACCCTGTGTTCTTACCTGTACATGCCACCCTGTGTTCTCACCTGTACACTCCACCCTGTGTGTTCTCACCTGTACACTCCACCCTGTGTGTTCTCACCTGAACACTCCACCCTGTGTTCTTACCTGTACATGGCACCCTGTGTTCTCACCTGTACACTCCACCCTGTGTGTTCTCACCTGTACACTCCACGCTGTGTGTTCTCACCTGTACACTTTACCTGCGCGCTAAACCGCTGCAAGCCCTCCCTGTATCCTTCTCACCTTTGAGCTCTCTCGCGTGCAGGCTTCACGTCACCTGCACGCCTCTGCTGCGCTCTTCCCACCACCCCCTCCGTTCGCTCGGCTGTGCCGTCTTCCCCGAGTGGTCTCTCGTTGACTGCAACTCTTGGCACCACCCCCCCCCCCCTACTCCACTCCTCCTCCTTCTCGTCACGGCCGCTACGATAATTGTCTCAGCGCCGAGGGTTTCTTAACCTTCGCTCCGGCTTAGCGTCCCTCCCCATCGCGCGGCGCCCCCCACCACTACCACCACCTCCATCCATCCAGCTACCCCCCCACCCACACACACACACCGCCTCACCCCTGGTCGTCAAGATCTCTCCTCCTGCACTCGGCGACGTCGCCAATCAGTTTGTCTCACACCACACACGGGACCACACAAAAGACGAAGATCCCCGGGATAACCTTTGACAAAGTACTGGCGTTGGGTGAGCGTGGAGAGCGCCCTGTGAAGGCCGGAACGGCACACGAAGGGGGTGTGGGAGGGGGGGGTGTGGGGGGCCTGGCCAGAACCACGTCCGACCGCCTTTGTCTTTTCCTTACGCATCGCATCAGGTTACTGAGTTGAGGCTGAGTCGACTTAGGAGATGTCCAGCACCGGTTCTGATAATCGTCACCGGTGTTGGTGGCCGTGAGCGGGATATCGAACTCGGGTGGCCGTGTTCATTGCGCTCGCACACACGTGCACACACACACGCGCACACACACTCGTGCACACACACACACGTGCACACACACACGTATACACACACACACGTGCACACACACACGTACACACACGTGCACACACGTGCGCACACGTGCACACACACACGTGCACACACACACGTGCACACGTGCACACACACACGTGCACACACACGCACATACACACACGTATACACACACACGTGCACATACACGTGCACACATACACGTGCACACACACGTGCACACACACGTGCACACACACACGTGCACCAACACGTGCACACACACGTGCACACATACACACACGTGCACACACACGTGCACGCGCACACACACGTGGACACACGCTGGGTGGAGAGGGGAGGGTGGGGAGGGGCTGGGTGGGGCTGGGTGGGGGATGGTAGGGGTGCGGCTGGGTGGGGAGGGGCTGGTCACCCCGTGGTGCCCTTATAAAACTCAACGTTTAACCTACTCACGCCGGCTTGTGCCCGCCCTCACACTCGGGTATATTGTGCGGAATACACCACGTGGTGCCGCCGTTGACCCTGGCCATTGACCGAGCAACCCAACGTCCCTACCAGCCCCCTCCGCAGGAATGTTTTAAAACGAGACACCGGCGCGCGCGGTCATTGACGTGAGCACTTCTTCTTTTGAGTAAGTAGTGCTTGAAGGCTTTGGCAGGATGTGTGCAATCTTCGACTTCTTCTTTCGCACGGCCGATGTAGATGCAGAGCAACGACTACAATTTCACATTCAGGTGGTCGAGCCCAGATAACCGCTGCCAGGAACAGCAGAGTTGTATCATCGCTATGATGTCTTCTTCGTAATTGTGGCTCGGGCATTGAACCGTTATATGTTGTACACGATCTTTTTCTTTGGTTCTTTCGGTAGTCACGTAGAATGAGAAAATAATACATTTATAAAATAAAATAACACAATAATATTCTCACGACGTTTCGGCCACAACACAAGCGGCCGCTTAGCAGATGACTTTACCGAAAGAACCAAAGATGAATCCTTGCAGTCACGAAAGTTTTAAATCGAAATTGTACACGGTCTGTTTTTGAATGAACACAGTCGCATACTGGAGAGTTTTTCATTTTATTTTCCATTTGTGCATCATGTTTCCGCATCTGCTATAGTTTGTGCGGATGTGATTTAGGATGGACCATGAGCTTCGTGGAAGACCAAAGCCGAAAGATCTCCTGCGTAGGGTCTTTCACGAGGCATCGTGTGTTTTGTGTGAAGTGTGTGGAGAGCGGTGGCGCAGTGGTTATGAACCCGGCGACCCGAGTTTGAGTCATCCAACAGTAAGCAGTAGATTCGTTATATATAACGCTTGTTTCGCCAAGAAAGCCTCACCAAGTCACGTCTTTTTCAGGTATCTTGTCAAGTTTTGGCAACAAGGGGCGATAATTGCCGCGGCATAGATTCAAATAAGAATAATTTGCAGGTAATTTTCTAATATGGACCATGGCGCCAGCAGTGGCCTACTCTTGCGAATTACGTCACGGCATCTTTAACGTCCACTGTGAAACGGGTGGCGTGTTTTTGTTTCGTTGAATGGTTATTACACGCCGCAGAAGTAACCAGGGTGGCCGCAAGATTCGAACTGTGCACCCGTGCTGCAGCTGGGCGGTATCATCACCGGATTGATCCTGGATGATGTTACGGCGCAGCTTTGACATTATTGAAAAAAGAAAAAAAAAATTCTCTGCATGTCCCCATTTAAAGTAAATTAGATAAACTTTAATTTGTAGAATAGTTGATAAATGTTCAGGTCTCTCACGTGACATATACTTTGTAATAGCGACAAAGTTCTGTAAGACCAAATACACAATTTAGAAACCTAAGAATTTAAGGTATTAAGTGCTTACGAAAGATAAATATCTGTCCATTATTTATTATGCGTGTGGGTGGCTCTGTCTACCTCACACGTGACTGTAATGCACCACGTTAAAGATAAACGTTAGGTCTCAAGCACAAATGCAAACACTGATTAAGCCCCTAAAAAAACAGTCGTATAAAACCCACACAATAAATCCCAAAAGTAATCACCACCGACTGAAGTCAATCAATCTTTAATGTTGACGTAACATAAATATACATTGTGCAATTAAAAACTCCCGCGCCCTCCAGCAGAATCTGACCACATGTACAGTGGGGACGGTAAAGATGAAGGCATTACAATCAAGTTTCTCTCGGACCCTCTATGCCAAGTCTAGACAGTGTTCCGATATTGACGTAAACACTTGGGCGATTACAACAGAAACACAGGTGGCTTGCAGCATCACAGTGAAATGTAAACCTATTCCTGTAAATCCCCGTCAACGTTGGATGCTGCTCAAGTCACTGGGCAGATGAATCGACGCCGCTTTAGCACGTGTCACTTTATAGATACACGATTAATTATGCTTCGAATTGATAAAATAGCCTTTGTAAAAAGAATGGGATCGTGAATGTTCACTTAGAAACCACACATCTGTATTGCATGGGGAGGATGTGTGGCAATATTGATCTGGTTTGTCCAGAAAAGTAGCACGAGAACCATCTCACATGATGTCCATATACAGAGCAATGTCTACCTACCCATACCATATTACCAATCCAATCTCACTGTTAAATTGAATTAACAAATTCACTCATGCATGTTTTTAATTCATGTTTTTCCAAGATTCAAACTCCCCCCCCCCACATATTTTACTAAGTATGCATTTTAAAACAGGCCATTTTGATTATAAACCTAAAGTTATATTCACATGGTTCATTCTCAACGGAGGTAATGGCGTTCGTGTGGGAAAATAAATGCTCTAGAAAGCATGCGCTGGTCGTCCCCATCCACAGCTGCCTCCAGAATGCCAGCTGTGAGTGTGGTTGTTGGGCATGTTTAAGCTTAATAACATAATTGTATTTACACAAACATGTATACTGTTGAGCTGAAGATGTCGATTTAAACAACCGTTTGTTAGCACTCACAAAGGCATAAACATAGAAAAGATTTCCCCGAATTAAGTATAGAAACATTCAGCCGACAGCTCTTTTGTACCGCATCAGACCCACATCCTCCAGCATGGAAAAACACTCCCTCGTATCCAACGCAACACGGTAACATTTGCCGCTGCACATAAGCGGAGATAAGGCGGTACGTAAGTGGGAGCGTAGTTTGTTACTATCCATCGGCTTCTTTCACAATATTACAAGATAATTTTAAAAACTCCCATTACTTTAATGCAGCTTAGGGGATGTGTTGCTTTCGGGTAGTTAACCTAAGCAGATAGCACGAGTGCTGCCACAAGCTGTATGGCATAACAAAGGCTGTAGTGTTCTCCAAAGACAATGGGACCGAGATAAAGCTCAAAGTTTTGTTTCAGCGGCGCAAGCCTCGGGAAATCAGCAGTAGTTTCAAATATTTGAATTCTGGCGGTCACAAAAACAATAACTGCTGCCTCTATAAACAGGATTCCTAAGCTGTATAAACACTGCTAAAGCGAGTGTCCAGCAGTGCTTTCAGTTTTAACAGACGGATTTCGGAATAGGTCTTTGAGAAATGGTTTAGAGAAGGCACACTGAAGACACTTTTCTGAAGTTTAAACAAATACTGAGAAATTGGGAGACAAAGCTCAAGATGAGTGGACAATTCAGTGGCCTAAGTTACACTGGCCTAGAGCAAACTTATAGGGATAGAAGACAATAAACTTGACTAATGGAGAGGTGTTATATTTTTTCTGTGTTGCAAAAATACAATTTTACAATTACACATGTACGGGATGCTCTCGAACCAACGTATACTTCGTGTGGTTTAAATTCGATTTCTGAGAATTCCACTTGTCATTCAAATCCATGTCACAAAACAGGCTTGTCAATAACATAACCATATAAAAAAACATTATGTACGCAGCCAATTATGCCTATTGCAGCCAAGTGATCTTGGAGCATCCCATAATTGCACCTGGCCTGCCTCAATCATCATTGTCTCTTTCTCATGCAAAACAACATGTGTGTGGATTTCACTTACAATGGCAATGATAGTGGCCAACAACTATGAAAATTAACCTACATTTTGGTTCTTGACAACCAAATAAATGCAGCTGCAACCCCTCACCCATATGCCCCAGTGGGTGAGCAGACAGTAAGGTTTTCACTTCCTTCCCAGTGTCCGCTTTGTCTGGACGAGAACACCGATTAATACACCCACCGGCACGCATGTCCATCCAACTTTGCAGAGGCAGCAGTTGTTATCTGCTCAACGATAAACTCAGGGTTGTGTGCGACCTCTTGTCCATTATTGTAAATAGGGACAGAAAAATATAAATTGCAATGATAAGCAGGAAACAAGATGCTCGACCGGACGTCATTTTGGGACAATCTTATCAAGCCTTTCACAAAATTTCTGAACCCCTCCCCCCCCCATAACCCTCCAGCAGCTATGAGCTCCAGTAAAAGTTATTAGTTTTGCAAAGTTTATATTGTGAGTACAGTGTAATAGTAAAAAAACAGGCTATGTTACAACATGGGTCCAAGTATTTGGGAAGTAACTCAATTAATCCAGCTCACGATAGGTATGAGAAGGTAGGATTCCCTCCTCAAACGGACCAGTATCAACATCGATGTCTGTGTATGTATGTAGTTGTACGTTTGTGTGCGTGCGCGACACGTCTGTTCATGTTTTTAAAATGAATGCGAACCACGGCTGCAGTTTTGGCTACTGAAAGGTCAAGGGTCACCAGCCAAAGACATACTCCAGTGCCTTGGAGAGAATGCCATCATCCTTGCTGAGCACCTGCTTGTCGTTCACCACCTGTGCAGCAACAAAGCACACGAAAGACGTTCACGTTAAACCTGTTACATCTCCAGCTCAAAGCGACAAAAACTAGCCCATGTAGAGCTGATCAGGGGATATCATACACAATGCATTATTAACGATGACAGATCTATAAACTGAAGCTCAGAAATAATTTCACAATTGGGGTACCAAGATCGTGATCACATGACGCCAAGGTAGAGTATTCACGAGAGCAGGCTACTCTGTAAAAACGGAGCAGCTTAAAATCCATCAGAAAAAAATATTCCGAAGTAGATTTTTATTTGCTGTTCTTTAAAATAAAATAAAAAATTCTTGAAATGTTAATGTGCACGAACAACACGCTACAAATAGAGTAAAAAGATGCAAGCAGGAATGGATTCACTACTTCAGCCCACCGGTGTGTTGAAGAGTTAATCCACATTTACAGTTTGAGTACGACGTTTCGCTGGTAAATACTTCCAGCATCATCGGGCAATTCGCCAGAATGGTAAAGCCCTCGCTTGCTCCCGGTTTTATATAGAGCAGAAGAGTGACGTCATCACTTAACTCATCAGGTGCAGTGATTAGAGGCGGAGGGGGGGGTAATGTAATTATATAATCGATTAGTAATCAGTCATTGGTTATGATTAGTAATGAGTTGTAGATTAGTAATTCTTTAAATCAAAATGTAACGTGTATTATTTAATAATACGCTTCCAGGCCGCACTGAGCCGGTAGCTGTCAGAGCGATTGAAGTTATTCTTGTTCCTCTCAATTTCAATGGATTCTCTAATTAGTCTTTGCCAGTAATAATTAGTTTTACACACCACTGCAACATTGTCAAAATCAATTGAGTGTCCTTGTTGACAAGCATGTTCTGCCTCGAGCACATTAAAACCATCCTTTTGGTTTAGGTATGTGGATGACACTTTGGTTGTCTGGCCACATGGTAAAGATACACTTAATGATTTTCTAAATCATCTCAATGCACAAAACCCGGCCATCCAGTTCACCATGGAAATGGAGGTGAATAATACACTCCCATTCCTAGATATTTTGCTTGGACATGGCCTAAACGGTAAAATAACACACAGCGTTTACAGAAAGCAAACGCACACTGATGCCTATCTGAATGCAGAATCACATCATCATCCAGCTCAAAAATCCTCTCTTATTAAGACACTCGTGCATCGGGCGAAAACAGTGTCAGATGGTGAGAGTCTAGTGAGAGAGATTAAACACGTTAAAGACGCACTACGACAGAATGGCTACAATAATGCTCAAATTAACAGAGCACTGAATGCCAAATCACGATCGCAAAGCAATACTACTGAAAGCGACCAGATTGTTAAAACAATAAAAATTCCATATATCTCAGGAGTAACTGACAAATTAGCCCGCGTTTTGCAAAAGCAAAACATTACAGTAAGATTTGGTACAGTACACAGAATTCAAAAACTAGTATCTTGCACTAAAGACGCATTACCTAAACTATCAACAGAAGGTGTATATCGGATTAATTGTTCATGTGGCAGCTGCTACATTGGGCAGACGGGACGTAACATCAGCGTAAGACTAAAAGAACATCAGAGAAATATTAAATTATCTCAAACACAACTGTCGGCAGTGGCAGAACATGCTTGTCAACAAGGACACTCAATTGATTTTGACAATGTTGCAGTGGTGTGTAAAACTAATTATTACTGGCAAAGACTAATTAGAGAATCCATTGAAATTGAGAGGAACAAGAATAACTTCAATCGCTCTGACAGCTACCGGCTCAGTGCGGCCTGGAAGCGTATTATTAAATAATACACGTTACATTTTGATTGAAAGAATTACTAATCTACAACTCATTACTAATCATAACCAATGACTGATTACTAATCGATTATATAATTACATTACCCCCCCCTCCGCCTCTAATCACTGCACCTGATGAGTTAAGTGATGACGTCACTCTTCTGCTCTATATAAAACCGGGAGCAAGCGAGGGCTTTACCATTCTGGCGAATTGCCCGATGATGCTGGAAGTATTTACCAGCGAAACGTCGTACTCAAACTGTAAATGTGGATTAACTCTTCAACACACCGGTGGGCTGAAGTAGTGAATTATTTGTCTTTTGTCAACGTGACACTTTTCTTTGCTGATTGGCCGTGTCGGGTGGTGGAGGGTTACGACACATTTATAAATAAACGCGATCTAACCCAAAAACCTTTATTATGAATAATATTGGTCGCGAAAGCCTACGTGTTAAACTGAGGAATGGATTACTGCTAGAGTATTTCTCCAACACATTCATTAGAAATGATCCCATCGTGACAATAAATCGGCTTTGCATGTGAGACTTGGCTGGATTAAATGGAAAATGCAGGGGGGGGGAAACAGACACGGCTGTAAACAAAATATATATATTTTTAAAACCTACCTAAGGAATGTGCCACAGATATACTTTCACTTGCCACAGCCTGAAGAAACATTCCAACGAGCCCAACCCTATTGGACACTAAGAGCATGTTTGTGCAACTCCCACGTGTTCGTGTACTTGCGGCGTCACCTGCAGGTCGTTCGTGGTGATTCGCCCGGTCATGGGACGCATGGTGGAGGGCCGCGGTGTTGTAGACGCGATGGGGACGGCGGGGGTGGCTGCGTGGGGTTGCACGGGGGTGGTGAAGCCCGAGAGAGGCGGGTAGCCGTGTGCCTCTCCATTCTCCATCACGTTCTGAGACACCCAACGCATACAGTGTCCGAGCACACAACAGCGAAGATCCTCCCCCACATAGCCTCGAACACACTGTTGGGGCAAGTGCTGTTAGCGAGCAGCTATGAAGGCCGGCACTGTGGCACACCAGGGGGTGGCTGGCCAACACCATACTTGGTCACCTTTGTCTTTCCAGTCTGATGTTTACACACCATACCAGGTAAACATTTCAGGCTGAGTCGACCTAGGGGAGGCCCAGGACTAGTTCAAATAATCGCCACTGTTATTGGTCGTGAATGATAATCAGAATCATCTCAAGAGAATGCAACACATTGCCTTAAAAAAAATATATAATTGGCAATGGCCCTTCTTCCTAAGAGTTAGAACATGCACTTGACATCATGGACCCTAATAATAATTACATTTAAGAAAATTCTGATGACCAATTTTTTAATTGACATTAATATTTTATCCATTAGTAGCTATTGAGTAACAGACAAAACCTTCAATCATCCAAAAGCAAAACTAAATAAATTAGTTCGTATTAAAAGTGAAACGATAAAATACTGCCGTCAAATTGCATTACGGCTCGGATCAAAAGGCTCTTAGCTTGTTAAAGGCCACTGAATCACTGGCTAAAGCCACACCTAGCATAGGAGCAACAAAGCACGCGACTGCCATTGACACTCAAGATGCCGCACTCCGCCGTACCTTCTCTATGCACGGCTTCACTCCCACCATGATGCATTCCCCAAAGACCTTTCCGTCTTTGCTTAGTGCCTTCCGCGCCTGCAGGGCCGACTGGTACTGAATGTGCATCCAGTTCCCGCTGCTCGACATCTGCATACGTTCACACGACCCCATTAACCACATGCCTCTGGGAGTTTGTTTGAATAGGTAAAATGCTTTGGTTGTATTGGGTAAAGTCACGTAGGTGAAAATAAAATAACAAAAAATCACGACGTTTCGGCCACAACACAAGCGGCCTTCATCAGGTGAAGGGACGAGACTGTCTGGAGGACAGCGCTAAAACTTAACGAAACGTCGTGATTTTTTGTTATTTTATTTTCACCTACGTGACTTTACCCAATAGAACCAAAGAGTATGGATCCTAGCAGTCACGAAAGCTTTAAATCTAGAATAGGTAAAATGCTGTTATGAGGAAATATAAAACTTAACAGGCTGTATTGGCTGCAGCAAAATAATATTTAAAAAGGACACGTTATCTCAAAGGACTGCTGCGCATTCCCTTTAGCTGCAGATTCTCCATCTAGTGGCTGTTAATCTCTGTTAGTTGTTGTCTGTGGGCGATAGCTGGTGCCTGCCCTGTCTGCGGTCCTACTTTGCTGCGGTCCTACTGCGGTCCTACTTTGCTAATTTCTCTTGACGTCAGCTAGCTGAAATCCAGAGAAATACAAACTAGTCATCCAAATGAGGAACCAACGTATTAAGTTGAAAAGTTGCAACCATCATCATAAGAAATAATAATGAAAACAAACCCTCTGTTAGCTAAATTAGCTCCTCAGGCTGGGATCACAGAGTTGGCAACCAACATCACTGGAAATAGGGTTAGGAGTGAACAATCACTTAAATCAGCTCACCACATGCTTGAGGATGTTCCCATACTGAGCAAACTGCATGAGAATGTAAGAGGCAGATGCAGGTGGGAACCTGTGAAAAGAAAACAGCACGTGCTTAAGAGTCAAAGCCTCAGTGACCACGTATCAGTTGTAATGTTGTCATAGGTGTTCTCTACCAAAAAAAAGCAACGATAAACAAGGCCACACATTCAAAGGGCGCTATCTACCAATAAACAAAGGCCTCCTTAAGCAGCTGTCACCTACATTGGTCCTGCATAACAATTCACCTAGCACCAACGCATGGGACGATTTCAATCGACCCATCTCCACGGTGGACAGGCTCTCAGACGAGAGTTCCCTCCCTTGGCTGACATTCGCCCAATGGCCATCATCCCTTCCAGCCCACTTAAACCAATTTAAGCTTAGGTAAGATACATCCGTGAATGTGCAGATGTAAACCCTTCGAGTGTGACCACAGCAGCAGTGACAGGAGCTCTAACAATGGTCCACATATTACTAAACTAACCTTTTTATTTTACCTGGTAAGGTCAACCGAGCTATATAGCTCTTTTTTCAGAAGTGACCTGGCCACAACTAATAGCTCAACGAAGTGGTTCATAATCTGGAAATGTATTGCAACCAAATGCTTTAAAACACGTTTCTAAATATGGAGGGAAAAACTGGAGGACCTGGATAAAAATCCACATGACCACGGGGAGAACACGCAAACTCCAAATATACAGGTGCGAGGGTCAGGATCGAACCCACGACCCCATGCATACCAGACGAGGCAGTTACATCTCGCCATCCGTGGTGCCCATATGAGGCAGAGCAGGCAAGACGCACCCAAAGACAGTAACCCAGGTGTGGTCCAGTGTGTCGCTGGAGACCAGACTCTCGCCCTGTGTGTAGAACGGATCCAGCTGGGCTGGCGAAGGAGGTGTTGCGCGTGGCTGTGACAAGGGCAATGTTCCAGGACTGAAGAGGCTGCTTGAACCTGTGCAGCAAGAACCCAAACATGGCAACGGGGGATCTCTACTTGCCCTTATGCAAAGCAATCAACGTGGAATCCAGTAAGACCCATTTTATATATACAGCGATTGCACGTGGGCAAGACAAACAACAGATGACATCAAATACAAAAATACAGACAAATTGCCTTGAGCCATTCAGCGGCCTCTCAGCAATGTTCAGTTTTTCGACGCATTTAATTAAATGGTCAATGCACAGTACATGTGTGTTTGTGCTACAGAGAAAATTAAGAGTTTATTTGTTGATTCACATTTCATCCACATAAAAAAATCCCTGCTCAAAAAAAGTATTTTTTTCATTTATTTGCCATATATTTTAGCACATTATGTTTTTGCTAAACACGCAGTTTTCCCGTTGTTGAACTCCCACAGCAGCTAAAGAAAATAAACGATGTAAGAGAAACACAAGAGTTATTGTCAGCTATCTCTCACAGCTTGAAAATAACAAGTGTTCCCAGTCAGGATTTAAATAAATTATACATGGCCCTCGCGTGAATTGCAAGTGTGACTTTTTCAGACCGAGAGCTGTCTTGTTGGAGCCCGGAGTCCTGACCACACTCCCAGAAAGCGGCGTGTGATGCAACGAAGTGTTCATCTGCAAAGTAAAACACAGCTTGTCCGGAAAGGTGTACTTTTTTGTACAAATTCTTTATCCCACAGGCAGTATCTCAGACACATGCCTACCTCGATGCTGAAATATACACAGGACTGGAATAATGCAAAACGAGTTGTATTAAGCGTACGCTAATATAGACTTTAACTTATAACACCCATTTTCTATACTTTTAAAGATAAATAAAATCTAATGATTCAAAATCTCGTTTCCAACTAAGAGGATACTTAAAATCCTTGGAACATAATTTGTGATAATAGAAAATGTTAGTTTGTCATTTATTTTTGGGGAAAACAAATAGTTGTCCAAGTAACAAAAGAAAGTGGTATTAAATGTGAAACCAATAGATATAGTAGACGTTTATAATGTTAGTTGATGCTTCCACTGTGTTCAGCAGCTAAATACAAGTGCTACGGACAAAAGTATTACTTCCATTTCAAAACTAAAACTAGTTTTCACGGCAAAGTTTTTCTAATTTGAGTATTTCTGTAGAGGGACTTGAGAAACGATTGAATATATATGAATCCACATTGTCGTTGTTGTATGCAGTTCCTCTGAGTAGGTGATACTGCATTTTCCTTCCAAACCACTTTCTAAAGGGTATGTTACGAACTGAAGGGCATGTTCATAGCATACTTTATCGCACGCAGAGTGATGTGCCCGTACCCTGTTGCGAGCCTGCAGGGGCGAGGGCTGCACGTCATCATACAGGCTGCGCACAGGAGGGGCACCACTCTTGTCCTTAGTCACAGGCAGAGCTGCTTGTGGGGTGGAGCGACCTGTGAACAGAACAAGAGCATCAGCGGCCGATTCATGTGCATCGCTCCCAGTACATATTTACTAAACTATTTTTATTTTACCAGTTAAGGCCCACTGAGCTATAGAGCTCTTTTTCAGAAGCGACCTGGCCACAAATGATAACTTGACGAATCATGTGCAGATGTCTCGCAGCCAAATACTCTAAACGCACATTTCTAAATGTGTAGGGTAATACTGGAGGTCCTGGAGAAAAATCCACACAAACCACAGGGAGAATATGCAAACTCCAAATAAACAGGCATCACGGTCGATATCGAACCCACGACCTCCTGCACAGCAGGCGCGTGAATTAGCATCTCGCCAGCATGGCATCCAAATGCAGTCTACCGAAAGTGGCCGGGTATTTGTTGGTCACAGCGCCGAGCTGGACCCACCGAGATCCTGGCTTCGAAATCCCGGTTTCAGAAAGCTGTGTAAATCCTCTGCTGTTGTAGCATGCCATCCTCCGTACACACCTGTGAAGGGAGAGGAACGCAACTCCAGGCCGGTGGTGGGGGTGTGGTGTGAGCGCGGCTGCCCAGTGGCCGGGGACGGGAGGTCCCCCAGGAGGAAGCCTGGAAGGAACTGTGTTCCCACCACGGTCTTGGGAGACGTGGGGGAGCCCAGTGTCATCGGTTCTGCTCCTGCACGTGCAAAATGAGAGCGATTGAAGCATGGACATTGGTGGTCAGGGTGGGTAATAAGTTGTCTTTCTTTCGTATGTCGGAAAAAAATGGACGTGTTTATAACTGTATGCTAAGTACTCTCTGGTTAATAAAGTATTAAAGCTTTCGTGACTGCATAAAATTACTCATTGTTTTTTTTCGGTAAAGTCACGTATGTAGAAATACAATAAAATTATATTAAAACAAAAAAACAATGAGTACTCTTTGGTTCTTTTGGTCAAGTCACGTAGAAAGAAAATCAATTAAATAATAGAATACGACATTTCGATTACAACACAATCAATCGTCATCAGGTAGAAAACAAACCTAGTGAACTTAGAAATATAATGCAATACAACACAGCGAGTCAGCTAACACAACAGTGAGCACCTTACCTGGTTGATTACGTTCTTCCAAAGATTGCTAAATTTGAGAGACAAAACACAGACACGGAGACACACAGACAGACACACAAGCAGAGAGAGAGACAACACAGTGACACAGAGAGAGACACACATGTGTCATCAGGTACAACGTGTGTCTCTGTGTTGTCTCTCTCTGCTTGTGACTGCCTGTGTGTCTCCGTGTCTCTCTTTTGGCTCTCTCAAATTTAGCAATCTTTGGAAGAACGTAATCAACCAGGTAGGGTGTTAACTGTTGTTAGCCGACTCTCTGTGTTGTATTGCATTATATTTCTAAGTTTACTAGGTTTGTTTTCTACCTGATGACGATTGCTTGTGTTGCAATCGAAACGTCGTATTCTAGTATCTAATTTATTTTCTTTCTACGTGACTTTACCGAAAGAACCAAGGAGTAATTCCTGCAGTCACGAAGGCTTCAAATCAAGTTTGCATGCCAAGTTTGAAAAGATATTTGATGGCGTCTGGGGTTACAAGGTGCTTTCCATTTGTACCTCCTTTAATGTATTTGGTAATGATTGGTGATGTGGGTGAGGGACTGCAAATTCACGGCAGTCACAATTAAGACGGCAACCCCAATATTCCTGACTGATGGGAGGTGGCCGAACATCTTCTGCATCATATTCTTTGTTCTATCGGTAAAGTCACCGCGTAGAAGGGAAACAATAAAATAAAAAAAATATAAAACAATACAATTCTCACGACGTTTCGACTGCAACACAAGCAATCATCGTCATCATAAGGTGTGAAAACCACAGCAAGAAAATGTTCTTAAGATTAGAATGGTACTCCGGCACGATTCCTAGTCTACGAGTACAATAACACGAAATGACAATTGCCTCGTGCCCCAAATCACTCCTGCGAATGAGACCATCTCGGTCCTTGGAAGCCGTCACCCGGTTGCAATAAAACAAACTAGAACGCAGCTAATAATTACATCGAGTTAAATATAAAAAGCACTCCGCGCAAGGAGAGTAGGCCCGAACCCTCGGGCCTACTCGCCTCGCCCTCACTTTAAACATCGCCCGGGGCTCACCCGCAAACTCCATGGCGTCTTGTTTGTACGACCGTCCGCACCTTGAAGGATTGAAAAGTGAGGGTGGTGGGTGGGAGGAGGGGGTAAAAGGAAATAGAACGACTTCAACGAAAATATTCTCTCTCACAAAACTCGGGGCAGACACGAGCCTCTCAAATCTCGCCTATTTTTTTTTCCCGCCCAGGCACCGATTTTGAACGAGAACCGCGGTGACCCCTGAACCCCGACTCATCTTTTTACCCCCGGCAGCGCGGTGACGTCGCACGCGCCCTGCGACGTCATCACGCACGACGCGACGTCAACACGCGCGGCTCTCGACCTCTCGAGGAGGAGGAGGGGGGGGGGTCAATGCTTGTGTCTGTGAGTCCTTAGTTGGCAGAGCTGTCAACACCTTAGGGGCCGTGCATAAATGACGTCACGCAATTTTGGACCTCCCCCCTCAAATATGACGTCACAAAGCTCTGCCCCCCCCCACCCCAAAAATAAAACATGCTTCAAATCGCTTTAAACTATTGTCATTGTAGTGCGTATTTAATGTGGCGCTGCACTCTGATGTTGTAGGAGAAAACATTTATTAAAAAGTATATTTCATTAAGTTGAACGTGTTGTCTATATTTATTTAAAGTTGCGCATTTTGATGTGACGTCACATTTCTCAAACACCCCCCCCCTCCCCTCTCGTCACACATCGTCACAAATGTCTGCCCCCCCCTCCCCAGGTGCGTGACGTCATTTATGGACGGCCCCTTATCAGTGTCCTACCTTATTACAGATGACCTTGTTGGTCACCCCGTGCCCTTATAAATCTCAACGGTCACCCTACAAAGTCCCATCACAAGGGAGAAACACAAACAAAAAGACAAACGTTTTTTTTTTTGCCCGTATTGAAACGGCTGTACACCGTATGGGCCTGAAAACTAAATTTCTCTGTTCAAGAATACGGGTAAACTGAATGGGTTGACAGGCATGAGTTAGACACTAAAGCCACATTCCCCAGATGTACCGTACGTACTTTCGTATGTTGAACTTCTTTCGCAAACGTACGTAGCCAACCGTGCTAAACATAAAACGCAGTTCCAGAGAGATGGGTTTCAATCTATATTTGGATGTGCATAGCTCCTAGGGGCTTCGGAAGGAGAGCGTTCTAGACGGCCACAGAGGCGCATCTGATGTCCCTGTTGGTCTTGGGTAGGAATATCAAAAGAAAACACATCCACATATAAAACCCTCGATGTTTTTTTGAAATCATCGATGTATACTATAAACAAGAAACTCAAGTCATTCGTAAATCTCACTACCTTAAAATACTACAAATGTATATAAAATTGGGTGACGCTTCGGGCAAATAACTCAATTGGGATTATACTGAACAGCACACAGAAACTTGGCAAGACCCTCTTGGAAGTCATGAGCCCTGAGAATCCTAAAGGTTGTCTTCATTTGGTTCCAAGTCTGAAGGTTAGGGATGCCATCTGTCCGATAATTGCCAGTGGTTCTGTTGGCAGGAATTGATTTGCAACAAGATATGGTACTGTACTAATATATAAAGGAACTTTATTATAGTATGCTGGAGTTTAGACAGACTGCGGTTGACCGAGAAATAAAATGTCTGAATTTTGGTCAAAAGTGGAAAAGCTTACAATCCTGTCTTAAACATCAACACTGAAGCCTGATAATAATATATTTGCCAGTCTAAATCTGTTGAGCCGAAGTTATCCACAAGACGCAGTCGGGGGTTCAAATCCTCACTTCCACCACGGCATTCCGGGGCAATATTATGAGACATCTTCCACAAGAACCCCCCCTGGTCCTCTGCAGATCCCCATGCATGTCAACTCCGTTACATTGCCCATTTAATCAAAACGTGCCATTGCAATCAATGCCAGAGGCTGGCGACATCTGCCATTGTAGATGTGGCTGCTGGATGAAGGCCTTCCCACGTCACCAGCCATCTCACTCCTGCACATAACCTTATCTTACATATACAGTAGCACCTTATTCCCATGTGCTTCACAACCACTATAAAATTGTAGTGGTTGAAATAAAGTGAGGGGGTTATTAAAATGGTGTAGTTACGGCGATAGTTAGAACAGGTGGGAATGGTTTGAGTGATAGGGGTTGGGGCCTGGTCGGAGCTGGGGGGGTAAGAGTCGCAGAATAGGCTGGTTGCTTTCTTGGGATGCATTCTCCTTGAGCTGCCCTTCCATCATCAGCCTCGTCCATCAGCCAACATCCTATATTGCAGCGCTTCTCAACCTCCTAGGGGTCCGAGATGCCCTTTATGGGGGTGCGAGACAAGCCACATGTTTTAGAAGGTAAATGATCGAAATACAAAGTCAGCATGGGTACACAAGTACAAATGCTTCGTTTCATCAAACCTATGTATTAATTACCATGAGACATGTTTTTACGATTGAGAACCGAAATGGTGCAAGACTGCAGTAAAGGGTAAACACCACTGCTTTATTGTGATGCATCTTTCTCAACACCAACTTTTATTAAAGTGAAATCTCAGATTTGTTCCTTTAGCTTGGAGCATAACTCCGCGTTGGTCATGGACACATTTTGGCCTCGTCCACACACTCATCTGCCATTATAATTGCAAAAAAGCAAGTAAAATTGTATACAATTAAAACTTTATTGAAACACAAAGCTAACACTTTAGGAAAAATGAAAATTGAAATCGGATATAGTGCACAGCACAGGAGTCGTCCAACACAGCCGCTGCAGGTGTCGTGACCGCACGAGAGGCAAGAATCTTGACGTTCAACAATTTATTAACGGAGTTGCACGCCCAAGCAAAATAAAAAAAAACGCAAACGAAAGTCCGAAACAGTATTACTTTTTTTACTTTTGAGACTATCTCCACCAATCGCCTTACACGCCTCATATCTTCCCTCTGGGCCCTGGTTCCTCTCCAGCTACCCAAATCCGCTTACACCCTCCACCAGTTCTCTGCTACTAACGTGCTCGTCACCTACCCCCCTCTTCTCCCTAATACGTCTATGTCCCCAAATTCAGAATATTCATTTATACTGGAGGAATCCAAAGAGCGATAAAGCTTTTTTCATAGATGCCCCAAAGCTGTACAATTCATAAACAGAAATTCTGTTTAATAACGAAATGAAAACATCAGGCGGAACCAATTTTTTTGACCATGCCACTAGCACACATGCATAGAAACTATTCTTGAAATTCCTGCTTAATATATGCGATAAATAATAACAAAAACATATCAACAAAGATCATATAATTACGCATCAAAATGAACCAAGCTTATAAAAATGTTACATATGGATGCCAATCACCACAACATGTACAAATACCTGTTCATGCAGTGCAAATTCATTCATATTTACAAAAAGTACAGCAGAGGTACGGCTTGGAAAACCACTCCTCTTATGAAATATATCAGAGTTGCTTTATACCAAAAGCGAGCCAAACAGATACACCATTCTTCCACTTCAGAAAGCTCGCTCAGACGACCAAGCCAAGCCCCCATATGTTCCATCTCCCCAGGTTCACTGTTCCATGTGCTCATCTTCCTTGGTCACCTCCTCCTCATCGCTGCTCTGCAGCAGTTCCTCCTCATCATCGACACCGTCCTCCATGGGTGCCGCGTCATCGTCCTCACTGTCTGGGGGCCCGTCGCCGGGCCCCAGCTCCGCCATGACCTCCTCCACATGGGCCATCATGGCCTCGTCGTCGCACCCCAGTTTGGCGGCAAGCTTTGAACGGATGCAGAGGAAGACCAAAAAGGGGATGGCATGGGGTGGGGGGCGCGCAGGGTGGGCATGCGGTTAGTGACGTTCAGATTCGCTACTCTTGCTGGGTGAAATCACCTAGCTGGCGTTTGACAAATAACCATCATTTAACGGCATATCCGAGGTGCGCCAGTACTTATGGGGCCTCCTCATGGTATGGGTGTTTTTTTTTATGGCTATTTGCCTGTCAACCTGGAACCAAACCGTGAAACCTCTGGCTCCCACAAGACAGGTGAACTTTACTCAGGCCAAACAAGGCCAGGGGGCAAGGTTAATAATTGTCATCATACATTGCACCAGCCAGGTACACCCCCGAACGTTTTGACAAGGACGTCAACTCGGCACAGCTCAACTTCTGCAGTGGAAAAAAGGCCTGGCACCTACAAAGTAACACCATGTTGCCTCAGTACGGCCCAGTTGGGAGTGGCTAAGAGGTCAAATCCCAAAATACACGGGAGACACGAGATTCCAGGTCAAATATTTTTCTCGAGTTTTCTGGGCTTCAACGTTTCTATAAACAAAACATGTTCCCCAGAGTAGACAGGCCTTTTATTTAGGTAACCAATCTCAGGATTGACTCCAAGCCCGAGTCATCGATCATGTGACTACTGCTCTAAAAAGTTTCCCAACAATGTGTGCTGATCGTTTTTGAAGGAAAAAAAAAGTCATGAAAACATCCACATCCTTCTAAAGGACTCATATTTCCCTTGCGTGCTATGGACTTCAGGCAAGAGAAACGTCTGCGGCCGCACTCAAGTCGCGGTGTCCAAGGCGTGTGGGTGGCTACCTTCTTGGCCTTGTGCAAACACGTCCTGGCCGAGTCCTGCTGTCCCGCGGCCTCATCTGGAGGCGCACACTTGGCCTGCAGGTAGCTCACCCACCCCAGCAGGTACCACACCTGTGCAGGGCCGACAGCCAGTCAAAATACCGCAACCACACACGGAACTAGCACCCGTCCCCGTAATGCTGATCCTCGTATATTTATCTTGACCAAATTACGTTCGCAGTTTTGACACCGAGGTCTTACGGTAACATGAAACTCGTTAATATATGATGACGATATTACCAACAGGGATGAATGTTAATATATGGCCAGATTAAACTGGTTACCAGTACAGTACTTGACTTATAATTGTAAGGTTGTCAATCTTGTAAAAATCTGGGTTGGGCATCAACTCAGCCAATCATCTCTTCAGGGTAGAGAGAATGTTAATTAAAATCAACCTCCAGTGAGACCGACCCCTGCCATAATGAAGTGGAATTACCACCACTGGTTCAGTGCCGCCAATGAAGAGGAGCGCCACCCCCAATGCTGCTTCGACCTGGGCAACTCTGCAATGTATAATCCATATCGTTTCAAGGATAATGAATTTCTTTGTATCTCACATGAGCAGGGCTGGAAATGGGAAATTACTGGGGGAACTCAAATAGTTCCCCACATCCCCACTAGATCTGAGGAAGACGAAGCGGAGCTTTGCTTATTGTGCGAGTATCTATGCGTGTCTGTGAATCTCTCTGTTAGTATAGCTGTCTTGCTAGTCAAATATAAAAAAGATGAATCCTGGATTCCTTGCGGAACGCAGTCCGGGTTAAAAATGTCACTCCCATCACGGCATTCCGGCCCATTTCCACCACTGCAAACGAGACTAAACTGCCGAGCAAACCGGCCTGCATCATCGAACGTTGCATTGATCACGACTTCCCCCCCCCCCCCAACCGCGCCCCTCCTCAAGATGAAAAGACGTTCCCTTGTGAGTGGCAAAGAACGAGACGCAAGCACCAACCTGCACAACCTCGTCGTCCTCCTCCAGCAAGCCCTCCAGCACGTCGGACGCCAACTATAGGGGGTGACATGACATTTGTGTTTGGTCATGGATCACGTGGTCTTAAGAGGATGATGAGCACAGGACCAAGGAGAGGGGTTTATTTTTCGGCAACTCTTTTGTAACACACTGAATAATAACGCCTGTGCTGAAATAACGATTCCATCGTTTGCGTAAGATGCGGACACCAGCTAAATGCATTTTCCAAATATATACCCGGGCTCTCCGCCTTCACCAATCCGCATTCGCCAGCTTGATGAGGTATGGTCAAAACCACAGCGAACTCCACTGCTTGAGGAGCCCCTTAATTCAGAAGTGGATTCACACAGGGCATACAAACTAATCATGTTACCAAATGTGATTAGCGCCCGTGGGTGTGACTGTGGATAAGGTAATGAAATAACGTTTTTATAGTCATTTATGTAACCGTATCACACGCTTCACAATCCGCAAACACGGAGGCGCACAGATTAAGATGTTTTGAGATAATAAACGAGAGTTCATACATGGTGAAAGGTAAAAATATCACTCCTTTACCTCATACTCTTCAACCTCGGAGAGGAGTTTCGCTGTTGATATTCTGCTCTCATAGGGAGGGAGTTGGGCCTACAGAAAGATGGAATCGGTAAAGACAATAATATCGCAGTACATGGCAAGGGTGCTCTGGGAGCAAGATGAAGTGACCAGTGCAATCAGGTACGTAGACACGAGGCAGATCAGAGACATCTTAGTGAATGTTAAGAACAGTAGCCTTGGACAGAATGCATCACCTGAAGGGATGGCTGGTGGTTGAGTCTAACAATGGAGTGGCAGCGCCAAAGCAGGGACTGCAGCCCGAGAGTATGTAAATCACGGCGACGGAGCAATGAAATCAGCCAGGGTGTGCAGGTGTTAGGTAGATCGTTCCATTTCAGGATTGAGTATTGGCGATGGCTTGGAGAGGCCTTTAGCAGTGGGTTGATGATGGCTGATAACGAGTCAGGGTGGATTAACGTGTTTTCTTGTTTATAAATTCACACTTAAAATGCATTAGAATGTGTAGAAAGCTTTAGACAACCATTTGTAAAGTGTCCTTTCGAAAATGCTAAGAAAAAATTTAACTTGTCGAGTCTGAATATTGTGCGATAGACAGAACCCTCTCAAGGAAGGGGCGTGTCCCACTGTGTGTGCAGACAGGTGCTGGGTTGGGTCACGCCCAGCACACAGGAGGTGCACACTTGCGTGGGTGAGATATTACTCTGGCATGGTGTCTGGATGCCCAGGCCACCGCAGACCTGTGCAGCATTCGGCCATGCAAAAATAATAATAAATAATACGCACCTCCAATTAGCATGTTTGGCTACATTCGGTACTATGCGAAAGATGATTTCATGTAAAAAAAACTATTGGTGGATGGTATTAAACACATTAAATACCTCAATTATGGAATCATGCCTCAGTCATTCTTCTAGTCATATTTGGAGACAAAACTGACTTGAAGAATCATAGACCTATTAGCATCCAGTGAATTATTCAAGTTCATTGGGTACCAAAAATGTAACAAATTAGAGGCCAATCAGCCAAAGGGGGTTATAACCTTGATTTTAAAATGCCTGCATTACCCCAGTATGTAGTCGAAAATATTCCTGGCGTGAAATATTATCTCCGTCCCTTAAATGGGTAAATGTAAACAAGCCTGGTGAACGTGCAACAGTGACTGTGGGGGAGACATGGAGACCAGCGTTTGGTAGACCTGGAACTGGGAGAGAACTACTCACCAGCATCTCCGTGGCATCGTCTGGTGCCTCTGTCCGGTTCTCTGCTTCTTGGCCTTGCTGCCGGCTGGGCAGCCAGGCAGAGAGAGACTGCAGCAGGTAAACCTTCCCTTCCTGCGTCATGCGAGGGGCAACAGCAGGGGGTGAAAGCAGCGTCGCTCAGTGTGAGCGATTAATCAAGTGAACAATCACAGGGTGAACGTTTTCTTTGTGTTTGATTAGAACAAGCCAACGAACAAATCACCTACGTGTCCCCATCCCATCAGATCTTAAATGGGTGGAGTGGTGGACGCAGCGATAAAATAATTGGTGAGAAGTTAAGCCCCATGAATGGTACGATGATAATTATTTATCAGCGTAAATAATTATCATTGTGACGGTGGTGAGATGTTAACTACCTCGCATGGTTTACAGGATGTTGTGGGTTCGATCCTGAACCTTTACAGGATGTTGTGGGTTCGATCCTGAACCTGACGCTTGTATATTTGGAGTTAGCATGTTCTTCCTGTGGTTTCGTGGATTTTTCTCTGGGTCCTCCGGTTTTTCCCCTTCACATTTATAATCAACATGCATTAAAGAGTATAAATTTCGAAATAAGCCACTTCGTTGAGCTATCATTTGTGGGCCAGGTCGCTTATGGGAAAAAAAATACCTAAATAGCACAGTGGGCCTAACCTGGTATTTTTTTTTGTTATAGCTTTGATTTGTTTACCCAGTAAAGGCAGAGGGGGGGGAGGCAAAGCACGAACCTGTGGCTGCTCAGTGCTGAAGAGGTAGCTGGCCATGAGCTGCAGGGCCTCGGGGTTGCTGGAGTCGGCCTCCAGGGCCTGTCCCAGGGTCTGCTTGCACCGTTCGGACGACCCCTCCTCCATGCTGCACAGCAGAGGTGGGGGGGGGGGGGCAACATTTTCCTTACCCAGGGCCAAAAAGCACTTTCAAAAATGTTGCGGGACAATACAATTAACGCACACCTTCAAGCTTTCTAAAAATGACGCGAAAACAGCGTGCGTGATGTCCCAGTGTACAGGGGGGCCCTCGCAGCGATAGATGTGACTCGCCACGCTAGACTTGGAAACAGTGTTGCCTGGATGGAAATATTCCTCTCTAGTACCCGATTAGTGCAGCCGAGATACGTGCAGTGATGGGATACATTTCGTTTGCTGGCTGCATGTGGCCACTGGCCATATGAAATTACGTAACCTGTCGTAGATTCCCCTCCTCCATGCTGTAAGCGCATGTAAGCAAGCCACAACGCCTTTACTCACAACACTTTAAACAAAACGGGTGTGAGCATTTATGACAAATAATTTTGAGCAGAACTGATGCGTTAGTGGCCTTTTGTACTCTGGCGGAAGAGCACATACAATTTTGGCTTTAGATGTAGTTTGATTAAATGTTAAGCTGGCATGAGGTGCAATTTCTCCCTAATTATTGTTCAGAACTAGTTGCACTTGTTATTGTGCAAATTCATAGGACCACACCCTGTGTTTGTAGGGCAGTAAGCGTTTACATAAACAATAGCTAAATGAAACACTGTGTTCTTGTATTCGCTTGGTGACTTCATACATTACGGTGATGTGTTAAGTTACAGTACTCCACTGATGGTCATGGGGTTTGTCTAATAATAAATCGACAATTCTGATCAATGAAGGTTGGCGAAGGGGCTAGGACCAGTTGACGTATCACTGGCGACAGACGTTGTGTCCAGGAATTGATACATGCAATGAGGGCATAATTAATTTAAAAAAATACTTTCAGAATTGTACATAAAACTCAAGGTGTTTTCCAACTCAAATCAGTAGAGAGGGGTGCTCATCTCCCCAGAGCAAGTTAGGAAAACTATTTTTATGCACACAGATTCAGAATCTTTATTTATCCTGAAATAATCCGATGAGCTATTGTTCAGGGATGTCCAGAACTATTGGCGACTTCCCGCAAATCGGTACATTTCGTCTGTGCCACGGAAAAAAGGAAACTCCCCGACCACGATTTGAACTCGCAACCTTTCGAAGGCGAGTCAAAGGCTCTAATATCAGCAATAGCCCGTGTACTACATAACACATTGATCAGGAAGCTGTTTTCAATCTACAGAAAAGACATGCATGACCTTTCCGCAGCACGCGCATCCATGGTGCCATGCTCTGCAGCTGGGTGCGCGTCTCTTAGGGTAGCAAACTAAACTATGCATTTTATTTGATCAGGCAAGGCCCACTGAGCTATTGCTCTTTTTTAGAAGAGATCTGGGCAAATGAGGAATTTTACAGAAGCAGCCAAATAATCTCAACGCGAGTTGATTCTAAATGTGAAAGGAATAACCGGACGACCCGGTGAGAGCGTTCAAACTCCAAATATATAGGCGTCAGGGTGGGGATCGAAACCACGACTTTTTGTATACCAGGCGAGGTACTTCACACATCTTGCCACCGTAGCAGTGTCGATGCAAGGACTCACCACAGGTCTGTGAGATAAATCTCAGCGATGGAGCAGTAAGCAGCAGACACGTCCCTGGGAGTGACCTCGGCTCCATCATCCAGGCTGGCAGCCTGGAAGCAGACAGACGATGGTGGAAGTGGCATAAATGAAGCGTTGTGCGTGTACCTCTTACAGTTTAGGCCAGAAAGAGCATAGGCAGCTGACCGCTTGAGGATTAAAACAGGAAACTAAATGGGTACAGCACGAGGGAACTGGGTCGGCAGGAAAAGTGGCATGGTGGCTAAGTGGTGCCAGTTCACAGCAGAGTTGGCACCACTAAAATTTAATTCAAAACCTGACAACCAACCGTGATTAAACGGGGTTCTCAAGTGCAGCGAGCTCACAGTTTCTGTTTGGACACCAGTGAATGCATAAAAAAAACACCAAAACAAGTTTTTGGATTCTACACTTACTTGGGCTATATTCCAGTTCTGAGAATGTTTGTTTGGCAATCAGGTGACAAATATTACTCAATGTGGCTATGCTGGTGGGAAAGTGCTGGCCCCGACTGTGTGGAATAGAGATCACTTCAAGTCACCTCAGAAGCAGTTCTGTGATATTTGCTTCACGGGGGATTCATTAACATGGAGCATTTGCACTGCTCTGTGAGAGATGCTAATGGATATTTTGAAAAAAACTAAGTGAAAGAGAACAAAATTAGCAAAGAATAATTACAAACAAGTATGGATTGGCATGGAGGTATGTGGAAACCTCTGTTCTCATACATAATACACACAGATAATTTGGTGTAATTGCTTGTCTAATATTACACAAAAAGTATCCTTCAGAATTAAGTCATGAAATGTAAAAATATTCTAAGTCGTAATAATTATTCCTAATAGTGCGCGATGCACAGGAGCCTCTAGAACGAGTGGTGGGTAACCTACGGCCCGCGGGCCTCATGCGGCCGCGAAGCCCCTTGTGGTGGCCTGCTCTAAATGTGTCCAGGGTGGTGTGTGGGATCATGATTAGTGCACAAGCATGATGTCACACTTGCGGCCCACTGAGGTGCAGGAGGGCCGCTCAAGTGGCCCACCAATTCGTATGGGTTGCCCATCACCGCTCTAGAGGAAGATGCATGTCCCACTGTATGTGCAGACAGGTGCTGGGCTGAGTCACGCCCAGCACACAGGAATCACACACTGGCGTGGGTGAGATGTTACTCTGGCATGGTGTCTGGATGCTCAGGCCACCGCAGACCTGCGCAGCATTCGGCCATGCAAACAGCGGTTATAAGATTGAAATGTTCACGGGGTAATCGGTGGACACGTATTCATCATATTTTGATTAAATTCAAGTCTCCATATGAGGGTTTGGTTCTTATATATAAACTCACAGAAGCCTGCGCGGGCTGCGCCTGCAGCGTGCGTGCCATGATCTCCACACCCTTGCTGAAGAAGCCGACGGCATCTGCGCCGGTGCTCAGTTGGCCCAGGTACATGTACTTGGCGTGGCCCTCGTCAGGGCTCAACTCCACGGCACGCAGGAGGCAGTGGACCACGCAGTCAAGGAAGACACCGTTGCACTCAACCGTCTCCATCACTTGGTAATAATTACGCTTCATATGATGCTGCCAGAAAGTAATACTTATTAGCACAACAGAACTGTAATCCAGAGGTTGCCGGTTCAAATTCTTAGCATGGCAGCTGAATCAATGGAAATGTTTCTTAAAATTGAGTGTTCACACGTGCCACCCACTCCAGGGCACCAATTGACCCGAAAAATATTCGGGGGAAAAAAAAAGACTCTGGTTACACCAGTGTGGGCGGCGAGGTGAGAGGATATGCGTTGCGCCTTGTCCACGTTGCCTAGCTCGGCCTGGAGGCTGCCTGCCATGTCCAGCCCCTGCAAATGGTCGGGCTCCATCTCCAGCGCTCGTTGGCAGAACATGGCGGCCAGCTCCACATTGCAGCTGTCGGCACACTCGCCCGCCTGTACTGCACACAGCCGGACCGGCGCAGCCAGCACACGCACGCCAAAGGCTACAACAGCAGGGCAATGACAAAGGATGTGTGCCTACAGGCTTACATGTCTCGAGAGATATTGTAATGTGTTTAAATGTAAGAAAGGTCCATCTGTTTTTTTTATATTATCATTTACAGCCCACTGGCTAATCCCCTGCTGGACGTTGGCCTCTCCACGCCACGTCGGTTGCGGAGTGTTGTGCAAGCATACTGCACAAAGTTGGTCAGTGTGGGATGATGTAGGGGGTGTCCACGACTAGTTAAGGTATTATGCACCACCGGCATTATCCTTGGCCAGGTATCTAATTCGAAGTGGCCAGGTATCTAATTCGAAGTGGCCAGGTTCATGACGTAATACGTTAACCACTGCTCCAGCTCTAATACGTTTTACTTGGCAAGATTTAATGCGTTTGACAGATTAATAAAAAAAACATGTTTGTAATAAAAAACCACGATTTTTTTCTCTCACACAAATTTCAAACATTGGGTCTTCCTTATAATTAGGTTTCATTGTAAGGGCATAATCACTTCCAAGCTAATATTTGCATAAGCAAATCCACCCAATCATTCAACAAATTCATTCTGGGGTCAAAAAATATTCTTTCACGGAATGTTAGCCACCTCCAATTAGCACGGTTGGCTACGCACGGTGCGAAATAACTTCAACATCAATACAAAGGATCTATGTCGCCAGTGAAGATGTTTTGTCCCAGCACTGTGCCAACAGCAGGTGAGGCTATGAGCAAACTCCACCCGTAGTTACTGACCCAGGGGGCGGTAGAACGATATTCTGGCACGGTGTCTGGATGTCCAGGCCACAGCAGGCCTGAACAGCATTCGGCCGTGCATTCAATTACCACGGAAAATATACAAGTCCGACTCTAATGGACACGTAAGTCCCTTTCTGTCTTTGGCTAGCCATCGACCTAAAGACGTCCACTGCATCGCGTGCTAAACAATGCGCTCCTGCGGCCGTCTGGAATTCTCTTCCTTCTGTTAGGAAGCCACAGGAGCTTTGTACTTTGAAATCCAGATTGAAATCGAATTTCTTTATAACAATGTTGTGTTTAGTTTGTCCTTCCCCCGCACCTCCGATCTGCGGGTTGGCTACGTACGGTGCGAAAGAAGTTTAACAAAACATAAATACAATTCGAAGTGAGCGCTCATGGTAAAAGTTGGCGATTCCGACCACAAAAAAAGCAGCCGGTGTGAAAATAAAGACCGCGGTTTCAGCCTCATACATTTCTACATATTTTAAAAAACGTATTCCATAACTCTTGTAAATCCGCACCTTTTCCAGCAGCTGCTCCACCGTGTACTTGCTCTCGTCTCTCTTCTTGCCCTTCTGTTTCACCTTATACTGCAGCCGCTCCCTCGTGCTCATCTGCTGCGGCGGCCTGTTGTTCCCTGCTGGAGGAGAAACGTCGACTTGCATGAGCGGTGGCGCAGCGATTTAGTCGACCAGACCGATCACACTTCACAATCAGAATATTTATTCACGCTGGAGGAAATCCGATAAGCCGTAAAGCTCCCCCCCCCCCTCCACAAATGTCCAACAAGTCCACCACTTGCTTGGTGGACTGTTGGTTCCACAGGACCCTGAGATGGCACCGCCTTTGGGAGGCCTTCATCAGCAGTGGACTGAACGTGGCATTATTTTCAACGATTGAATACATAAGACAGTGATTGGTTGTTCTAACCGAGAACGCCGGCCCCTGCCATGTGCATGGCATTTCCATGACTGGCTCTGGATATCACCGTATGCACAGGGAGCTTCACTTGACCATGAATATTGCCACGAGGCCCATCCTCTCCATAAATGCGTGTTCCGTGTTCGTACGGACCGGGTCCCAATGCGCGCAGCAGCTAGTCGCCCAAGGCCATTAGGCCGGTGGAATCTAGGAAACGCCGGTATCACTCTGTGCTGCAGGCCGCAGAAACGGGGAAACGAAGTTCCTCAATAAAATACAACCCATAAAAAAAACAAAAATCAAGCAACTCACCCCATTTACAAGATACACCTTAAATGCCCGTGGGTTTTGTTCTTCTGAAGTTACCAAAGTGATTTCGCTAAAAAAAAAGGGGTAAACCGCGTGTCCCATCCTGCGGCCCTCGTGGTAACCACGTGTTGTAGTCGTAAAGCCTGTTGGCCCCGCCAGCCAGGCCGAGTCAGCAAACAATACAAACAAATTAATACTGCATTATTATTAATTACATCACAAGTGCTTTCTTTTTGCCCACCTTTCTTGCGTCCCATAGTTCACCCGGTGCCAACGATAAAGAGAGACGCGGCAAATTGAATCTCATGCCTCGACTGAACGGCAGTGGGCGTAACGATTCAGATCCTAATCGATTACCACGTTGGCGTTATACGTGGATCGAATTGTCCTTTGTGGAAATATTGTAGAGTACAGCACGGCCTTTGCGATGGATGTAATAAGTGGAACCTTATAAACGAATGTTCATTGAGATTAGATATAAAACATATACGAGACACAAAAATATTTGTAAAAATCTCACGAGAATTGTGAAATTGATTTGAACCCTTTACAGTACATGATGCTTAATGAAGCTTACGCACATTTGGAAAAGCCGTCTTGTGTAGTTCTCAGTAATATGCACACGTGGAAAATGACACGACGAAGTATAAATGTTGCATATAAGCATACATTTTTTATTTATTCATTTCGAACTCATGGTTCAACATGAATGTGTAACGAAAAATGTAGTTCATTGCAGACATAACTGTTTAAGTATATTTTTTACTTAATCTGACATGAGAAATATAATTGTCAATGTATCACTGCATATAACAATGTACCATGTTACGGGGCAAACATTTTATAATTTGTTTGAACCATTGTAAAATGTACAACACAACGTCCAAATATATGTGATTAAAATTGTAATATTCCTTGGGTCTTTTGAACCTATCTACGTGACTTTACCGAAAGACCCAAAGAATATGAATTCCTATACTCTTTGGTTTCATTCGGTGAAGTCACGTAGGTAAAAAATAAAATAAAAATGCATTTTTATTTAATTTTATTTTTTACCTACGTGGATTCTTGCAGCCACGAAAACTTCAAATCTAGAATATGAATTCCTGCAGTCACGAAAGCTTTAAGTCAAGATTCTAAATTGCAATAGAATGCAGGTTTCCAAACAGCCTTAAATAGTGGCTGTACAAATTCAAGTCGGATTAACTATTTAGATGTTATCCTAAACATCTCGAGGGCAAACCTCGAATGAACATTAAACTACTTAAAACTAACTTTTAAAATAATTATATCAATGTAGCTTTTATTTTAATACATTTTAGGTATGTACATTTGTAACTTTTTAAGATGTTGAAAACCCCCAGTATATTGGTCATTCTTTAAATATAAATGATGGGGAACGTGATGCTTCTATCTCATGTTCATTGTTAATGTCAGAATCGTTTAAATTAAACTCAAAGTCAGAACTATCCGCATTGTTCATTGACTCCTTCTTGTTCCAAGCACGTTCTTCCACTTTGTCTCCGATTGGAACTTTTTCCAGGTTCTCATAAGGCCCTTTGCACAATTCAGCTTGATACAGTTCTGTCGCACATATAGATTTTCTTTGCATCGTATTGCTGCTTCTGCTGAACGTCTTATTTTTCTCATTGGTCACAACCATACCCTCATAATTGGGCTTTTCTACAAGATTAGTGACAGAAGCCAAGTCAATATAGTTGACATATTCATTTTCACTTGAATTACTTTCCAAAGCGTTGGTGTAATCATTTACATTAACCACCTCTCCACTCTGTACAGTGGACTGACTGGAGCTGTCATTCTCTTCGACTTGTTTGCCTAACTGTGGCATTAAAACATCAAGTATGTCCTTTTTTACAATGTTGGTAGTTTCCTTATCACGCTTGCTGTCTCTAGCTTTGACTGAATTGTTTTCATTGTTGCTGTTGTTCTTTGGCTTCGAAACAGGAATTTGAAATTTTCTATTTTTTCTTGGTTTTGTCATCTGTGCAGATGTTGTGTTTTCAGTTTTGTTACCTAACAGGAAAATAATGTGCAAATTCCAAAATGAAAAATACTTTACGTAAGAGAATACAGTACAATAGAATACAATTGTTCATTGAATACAATTGTTCAGGTATAATTGTGTAACCAGGTCCCCATCAAAAATGGGCATTCATTGCTCAATGGGTTTTTACCTGTGCCAAAATAAACCAAACTGCTTAGTAGGCATATATGAATTCACCTCTTCTATGATTCTACGAACTGTCACAGGTGTGGTTCAATCATGAATCAATTCTGCTTCGCAATTCATGTCTGGTGGTACATTTAACATATATAATTGTATGAATATAAATAATTCATAGCGGTATACAAATATTTACATTTACAGCATTAGACCTAATTATAACTTGCAAGTTTCAATAGACCCATATCACATCATTAGCATAAGCAATTTTAATAGTTGAACGTGTAACATCTATAATGCTTGTACCATTAAATATCCAACAGAAACAATATTACAGTATACTCAGTATACAAATGTAGTGACTTGCAGTGTCACTACTGGCTACATACACTGACGTCACTATGCGGGGGAGCGTCACTACCCCGCGGGTCTAAACACACACACATGACGTCATCCCGTCTGGAGGCGGGAATGACGTCAGGGCCGGATGTGTGATCGGGAGGACGTGGGTGAGGCCACGGAGGTTGTGTAAGGCCGTGGCACTCTGAGTGAACCCGGCTGGACACGTGACCGGATCAAGCCGGGCAGCTTCGAGAGGGTTCTGGAAGGAAGGCGTGACCGGGGTGGGGCCCGGACACGCCGAGGCCGATATAAGCGGCCTCCTCACGGGACTCGAGGCTGCCCGTGTCAAGAATGAAGATGCATCGTGAAGACGTCTCCTAAGAAAAGTCAAGCCTCCAGTCAGCGGACCCGCCAGTAGCCCACCTGGCTGGGTCACGCTAGTGTATCCGAGAGTCCATGTTAGCGAGTGATGTTAAGTGTAACGTGTTGGTGTTAATAAAGTGTTGCCTCCCAAGAAGTTGTGTGCGCCTATCTGAGCCCATTTCACAGATGAAAAGAAAAATAACTGAAATTATAATAATTTATGGTCTTTATGCATAATCTGTGGAGGTTTTTTTTTTTAAAGGTTATGGGTAGAACCAGTGTTTACAGTAATTATAACTGTAGGCCAAGACGAATAGATTTCATACCTGTCAACCTCTTATCAGTGCTTACCCTATTATAGACCAATTCAGACCGTATTAGTCACTCCGTGCCCTTATAAATCTCAACGGTCATCCTACAAAGTCCCCTCACAAGGGAGAAACACAAATACACTTTTTTTTGCTCGTATTGAAATGGCTGTACACCGTATGGACCTGAAAAGTCAATTTCCCTGTACAAGAACACGGGTAAACCGTATGGGTTGACAGGTATGAAATTACCAAATATACATTTTTATGACATGTTTAATATATACTCATCATTCTAAATTGTTATTTATAAGACTCACAGTTCATTGCAATGTCCACTCCATCTGGTGCTTCATTTTCCAGTTTAGACATCACAAACTTTACATCAACAGATGTTGCTTTTGCGCTGGGAAATTGAAGTGTGGTTACTTTTTCCCCAAAGGTCTTCTCTTTGTTTCCTTTTTCCAAATCTGCAGGAACGCCTTTCTTCTTGAATGTGTCACCTGGTTTAAAAACAATATTATTTCTTTACTGTGAAAGAAAACGTACAGTAGACAACATTTTAATACAATGCTATACAGTGGAAACTGGATGTAAGTATACCTTATTGTGTGTAAGCATAGTTCTGGGGGCAAAGGCAATGGTCAATTTCTGATACAGGTATAAAACAAACATAGACCTGCTCCCAAAGACTGTATCCAGCTTCTACTGTACTGAGTGTTGTATACATTCATGTTCAACATTGTATGGAACATAACAATACTGTAACTTGTTTTCACGTCAGCGCAGCCACGTCAAAATATCAGGATGATTAATTAGCAACAACCCATTTAGGTCTGGTTTAAAGCTGAAATGTGAAAATATTTTACAAAACTGAACATTTACACCAAAAAAGACGTGACCTTAAACAACAAAATCTGGCAAAAATGTCTGGTGTCTAGCCTCCTGTAATCTCAGAACACAATTACGCAATGGGGAACTTTTTGTTGTTGTAAATCATGTGTAAGAAACACTTGTTATGAAGAACGATTGTAATTGTTACAACTTACAATTCATCTTTTTTCCTTCCATGGCTTTGACGTTTTTAACATTTCCACTTTCCTTGGCAAAAACTGATTTCGTCTTATTCGCAATATCAGTTCTATTGTATTTAGCTGATCTGCTAAGTTTGTTCTTTATGCATATACGAGCATCTGTATTAATTTCAGAAGGTTCATCTATTTCTTTGACCACAATGCATTTCATTTTATTCGTATTGTTGAAATCAGTATCTTTATGAATGTCATTGCTACTCTTATCATGGCTTAGTGTTTTGTCAGCATTATACCGAGATGTAATATGTTCATCTTTTTCATCTGGGAATAAATATTGATTCACCAATTACTAGTCATATTTCACTAGTTTTTACAACTAAATGTCACATTTTGTATGGAAGTAAAGTACATTTGTGAAACATTGCACAACAGCGAGCCTTAAGCACTTACAGACTACGAAAGTATTTTTTTTAATTCCAGCACATTTGTTAATTATAATAAAGCCATCACAACAGATGGCAGGCAAGTACTATTAGTGGTCTATCCATATTTAGGCTCCAAAGACAAAAGGCAGCAGTGAACATTTATTACAATACCGTACTGATAAGTCCTAATGAGTGCGAAGCCAGTCTATAGTTGTCTGTTTTCCTGCTGCCCATTGGGCAGCATGGCCAAACCTTTACCGAGCATTGCTTCCACAAAGCTGAGAGCATTATGCATGCAATGTGGTGGTCACATGACATGCGTACAAGGCATGATCAAGGTTGTGCCATCCTGCTGTTTGTGAGCAAACCTTTGTGTTGTTAAATATAAAATTAGTTGGTGTTCATAACCTGTTATGCATGCCATTGAATACTGTTTGTGTGCATAATAACGGATTTAAATGTATTCAATTACAATTATAAAACGGATCTTCATATATAGTGCATTACTATGACCACAATAGACATGTAAAACGTGGATAAAAATATTCTCGAATTTCAACAGAAACACCTAACAGTTTTAAAAATATATAACATTTAATTCATAAACAATATATTTTTTTGTTGTTGAGTAAAACACTTGCCTTCTTTAGCTGTTTTCTTTGTTTTCTCTGCTTTCTTATCAAAGATAATATCCCTGTTTATGGGGCTTATATGTTTACTGGTGGTGCACTGAAGAATATTACTTGTATCCTTTTCATCCTCAACATGTTTCATATCTGCATTTGAATTAGGAGTCTCCTGGCCTCTATTAAAATTCTCTTCAGCAGATTCCTCTTTCATGTATGTAGGTTTAGCCTGCTGTTTGTTTTGTATGTCATCTTTATTTGATTTATCTAATGCCTTCTTTCCTGTGGAAGATTAATGCAACCCAATAGAAGTTACTTTCAAATGTATGACAAAAGTGCAGACTTGATTCCTTGCAAAAGCATAAAATGATGCGGCTTTATTTGAATAGATTTGTATTGCGTATATTGAATTCATTTTCCAAATGTCATGGCATTATTTAGTAATTTTTACTTTTTTTCTCCATTTCTTAAATAAGAATAATCATGGGTCTCCTGGGAAGAGCTTAAAAAATACATCGTCGGAAGGTGTTGGGGGAAATGTTATGAACGCCCGTGTGCCCAGGCCACAGTAACACTTACGTTTGCGTGGTGGTTTCTTACAAGGCTCTTCCTCCTCAGTGCTCTCCTTAGCTGTTTTCTGTACCAAAGGAACATTGTCTAATCTTACGTCAAATTGTTTTCTCATTATCAAAAATCTAAGACAGTTTAGCAAATTTATGCGACGAGGAATCAATATATAACCACAAACCAACTGATGATTTACAGTGTACAAAATCTATCAATTAAAAGTAACATTTACAGTCAGCTTTATGTATTCCTTTAAAATAAAATGCCATCATCTATTATCTATATAAGGGGCCATCCATAAATGATGTCACGCACCGAGGGGGGGAGGGGAGTCAGACATTTGTGACGATGTGTGACGAGGGGGGATTTGAGAAATGTAACGTCATATCAAAATGCGCAACCTTAAATAACTATTAATTAGATAGAACTGTGATAACACAAATTTGGATTAATTTTCATTATTAACGATTTTATTATTTAAATGTACTAAAGTCACCTGTTATTTATTCCATGAAGGAGCATTTTGCTTCTCCATGGGAGAATGGAGAAGCATACATTTTTGTAATTTTTTTGAATGATTGTTATTAAACATTTAGATTCTAATGATTCTACTAGGGCTTTTCATTCTGTGGAATTAATGTGATTGTTATAATTGTACTCTCCATTTTGCTTTGTTCTACTAAAGTTTAAGGTATTTTTTATAGTTATAATTACTTTTAATATTTTATAATTATAAGAGAATTTAATTATATTCTGAACATCTGCAGTTTTAGTTAGACGTTCAATATTTTCAAGTGAATTTTATGCTAAATTTCAGCTTTCCAACAACTTCAGAGTGCAGCGCCACATTAAATACGCACTACAATGACAATAGTTTAAAGTGATTTGAAGCATGTTTTATTTTCAAAATGGCAATATGGTTTTTGGGGGGGGGGGGGCAGAGCTTTGTGACGTCTTATTTGTAGGGGGGTCTAACTTTTTGTGACGCCGTGTGACGAGGGGGGGGTCAAAAATCGGCCAAAATCGCGTGACGTCATTTATGGACGGCCCCTAATATATTTCATACATCATTCAATACAAAAGTAAAAAACTAAACATTTTACCTTTCCCCGTTTGGCCTTCTGATTGAGCTCCTTTGATGTCTTCCTTTTACGTGAAAGTTCACCTTCAGAGTCTAAGTAGATTTCAAACATTGATACAGTAACTTCATACACCAGTTGATTTCGGTTTGTTTCAGAAAAGTCAAAACATGTGTTTTAGTCTACTCAAGTTTACCTCAGATAAAATTGTTTATTTATCGATTTTCGTTTTCAGAAAAGTACTTTTCATTACCATACAAAAACTATTGGATTTTTTGAGTGGTGCTATGTAATCGTTCTGCCCTCTTACCTTGCAATGAAGTGTGAATGGAAAATGTAGATTTTTGATGAGACATACTATTATATATCTAAACACCCCTTAAAAATGAAAACATTAGTAAATTTTGCGTGTAATTGGTTTATAAAAACTTCAAAGCCAATACAGGAATGGCAAAATTCATTATGGAATTGAATTGCAACTCCACATTGTGAGAATTCAGCAAACTGCAAGTGGCTGAATCATTAAATGTGTAGTGACGTAAATGGAGTCACTATGGAGTTTAGCGCCAGCTACTGTCACAAGAGTGGAACTGTGCATCTTGAGCCTCTCTCTGGCACCAGAGTAGGTATGGCATGGAAGCGGGCCCTAGGGGGCATGGTTCTGGTGACGGTCAGAGAGAGGGCAAGTAAGGATGTGACAGTCTGGGTGAACCCGAGAGGGCACGTGACCGGGACAGGGTAGCGAGGGGGCCCAAAGGGTGGCATGATGGACACGTGATGCTCGGTCGAGAACTTTCTGGTGAGATCCAGAAGGTAGCGTGGCCGAAGGCAGAGCGAGGCCACACTCGGGAGCATAAGAGGGAGGTTCCGAGAGCAATCACTGCTGTCTGCTGGAATGGAACCCGTCGGTGCTACGTCTCTTCGATCCTCGGTCATCACGTTCGGCATCGTGGGTCAGGCAGTGTGTTGGCTGACTGACCCAGTTCTGTATTTACCTCGTCGTGGTATAGTTAACCGTTGTTACGTTATGTAGTTACCCTGTTGGGGTTGTGTAATAAACGTGTTGCCTCCAAGTTCAAGTGTGCCTCCGTAGAACCCACTACACATGTTTACCCTTTATTCAGCTGCAATGGAAGATTCACCAACACTCTACAAGATACTTGAACCATAGTTGAGTACCTTGGGAACTATCGGTATCTTTGTATTCCATTTCTGCATCTTGGTTATACGTTTCTGAAAATCCAAACTCATCCAGGCGTTTCTGGGAATAACAACAGCATAAGCTAATGAGTTATACTTATTAATAATATAGCGTATATGTAATGAAGCCGGAACAAAAACAAAGGGAACCTCACCTGCATACTCATCTTCGTGGCGCAGTTTGCTTTCCGTACAGCATCAGCAATCCTTTTTGTGAAATATCGACCATTTTGACCCTGGAAATAACATGTAAGGTAATGTAGCCACATACAGTATGTACATCGATATGTGGAAGTTGTTAGAAAATCGGAGCACAGGCACGTACTCTCTCAAATGTGAATATTTATTACAAACAATACATTTCATGCTTGCATGCCACCAACCTTCGTGGAAAACATATTCTCCATGGAGTTTTCAAATGGTTTGATGAAGTAGGTGGGGATCCATGATCGAGAACTTACGTTGTCGAAAAATGTCACGTGGTATTTCATCTGCACACATTGTCCAGTAAATATGGAAACGGTAAATTATTCGAATGCACAATATTTCCAATTGTATAAGTGTAATAGGTTTGAATTTGTAATTGAGAAAATAAGAAATCCATCAAGTGCAGTGACTTAATTTTTACAAGTAATTGTTTTTACATAACCACACAAAACAATACGGTCAGCAAAGACAACCTATTAGATTAACCACATGTTAACGTTATAAAACATTCCTAACATCATCAATAATCAAATATCTGCCTCTGATTTTTGTAAAAATAAATTGGATTGTGTAAAATGCAGCCTTACATACACGAAGAAAAGCATTTAACTAATTTTCCCCATATCAACCTTGACAAGGCACAGGTTTCACTTGATGTTAGATTTGTATTGTTAAATCAACTCATAACAGTACATTTTATATTCATACCATTCTTATTGCGCATGGCTATCAAAAAGGCGCTGTTTCACGAATGTATAAAGTTTGAAAAAATTATAGGTTTTCCCCTTTCTGGCAACAAAACAGGTGAAAACAGGTGCTTGCAAAAGGTTTCTATTTGGTGTTTGAACATCTTAACACCTATTTAATTGCTAGAAAGGGTAAAACCTATTCTTATTTATTCATATTTTGATACTGGCACAAAGGTCCCATTTTGAGTATAGTTTGTCAGGAGCAGGTGACATTGCTATGTTATCCAAATAAGGCATTCTACTGATTTCAAATTTAGAACGTGACGCCAACATGTGTATTAACTAGGGCAGCCACAGGGCTCGAATCACCAACCTCTGCAACAAGTGGCAAATGCGCTCCGGCTTGGCCATTTTATTTGAAAGCTGACACCAATTTCGTAACTATTGCACATTCAATATATTCACAGTTTATAACTATCCATTGTTAATGTAATCCAAAAATAGTTAAGAAAGAGTAAGTGAAAAAATACATTAAGCAGGTATTAAAATCAAAATTGTGATATCACTTACCACACCCTTTTTCTTGGAGGCAAGAAAATACTTTTCCGTCTCTGGATCATTTTCTACCATACCCGGCCACCTTAAAACAATTGATTAAGTTTTAGATGGCACACTGTATTTACGACATTCGGTATTTTAACATATGTAATGAACATTTTACACAGAGGTCATATTTCAATTTGTATGTTACAGTATTTCCGTGTCTAATCGTTCTGAAAAAAAATAGCAATGTCTGGAACATGATAGTTATGAATCATCTCATTTGATACACATGAACCACACTTCATGTTCTCAAACATGAACCACGCTTCATGTTCTCAAACATTCAGTCTACCTAGACGTATTCTTTGGTTCTTACGGTAAAGTCACGTAAAAAAATGTGAAAAATAAAAAAAGGCTCCAGTTTACATTGTAGACTGCCAGTACGCTCACCGAGGTTAAGAACAAGGCGAAAGTCTACATTATAGACTGCCAGTACACTCACTCAGATTAATAACCATTGCTACAGTCTACATTATAGACTGCCAGTACAACTCACCAAACTTAAGAACCAGGCTACAGTCTACATTAGTGTTTTTTTTATTATTTTACTTAAATTTTTATTCACTTTATTTTTTATTTTATTTTTCGATCTCAGTGACTTTACCGAAAGAGCCAAAGAATATTAATTCCTGCAGTCATGAAAGTTTTAAGTTAAAATTCTACTTAGACGTGTTATTTCATAGTGACACACCAAGGATAACCAAACTGCTTTGCCCACACGAGGGAACCAGGTTGCAAGTCTGTCTCCACATCACTCTCATAGCTACAGTCCTCCTCTGCGGTGCTGCATGAGTTGTACATTGTATCTAGGGGATAGAGGGGGAAATGGATTCAATTAAACATATGGAAAATTAAAGAAAAATACCACAAACACAGCATAAAATGTGTGTAATTATGCAAGCTGGTGTGGTATATTTGTACATTTTTTGAAAGCACATTTCCTAGAACTATGGAAACGCCTGTTGTTCTGAGAAGCATTGCAATAGTTTGCATTTAATTAATTTGAAATATATCGAGTACAGTGATGTGGTAAACCAAAATAAATATGTAAGATTCAGTTTGAAACATATTGTGGCCGTACGTAGGAGTATATGCTCTGTAGATTATAAAATGGTGGTAAGGGTGTGAGTTCGACTCGTCGATACCCTTGTTCATGTCACACGTCCACACGTCAACGAGCACCGAGGTATCCGAGGCATTATGGAGACGTCTCCATTTGCTGCATGCTTGGTTGCTGCACTGCACCCATATTTCATATCCATACTCTGAAATCAACCAAATGAAAAAAAAACCCATTTCACTTCAGAATCAGCATATTTATGTTATACTGCCGAGGAGGAATCTGATGAGCTATAAAGCTCTTTTTTTCAGATACCCAGTAGGGGCCACGGGGTAAGAATGTTACAACAAACACAATACAAAGACACGATAGGAGTGCCAAGTACAGGAAATGTAAACAAATCACTCAAACACGTATAAATAAAACAAAACCATCCAAGCACGCAAAGCCCATTGGAGGTATTAACTTATTTCCCAGAAGCAGCCTGGCCACAAATGAGAGTTCAACAAAGTGGGTTATTGCGTGAAAATTAATAGTAGCCAAATATTCTAAACTAGCCTTTTGCCCGTCCAAGGGCAGATGTATTGCAGTAAATCTGAAACTTGCAAGCGAAAAGCAGACCGCGACGTGATATTCATTGCATCCATTCGTGTGTAATTTGTAAGGCTGCGGTGACACAGACTTAATTCATTTAAAGGTTAAAATCCCTTGTTCATCATGACGTCCTTTTTACTTCGATGTCTTAATAGCGTTACGGAGATCGCGTGACGTGAGGGTTCTGCCTTTGTAGTAAGGGTTATAAGTTGACGCTGAGGAGGGGGGAGGAGGCGCCTCGCCCCCCCCATGTGGAGTGTTGGCTCAGTATCGTAGTAATTCATCTCAATGCATGTTTCTCAACAACCGAGATTGGCAACATCAACATTCGTGCAGTCAGGTTTTTTTTGCATCAACCCACAAAGACAAAGATCCCCCGTATAGCCTAAACAGACTGTCAGGGCAAGTGCTGTTAGTGAGTAGCAGCACCTATGAAGACTGGTATGGTGGCACACGAGGGGGTGGGTGGCCATCACCACGCCCGGCCGCCTTTGTCTCCCCCCAAAGTGGCGATGTTTAACACACCGCACCAGGTACTCATTTGAGGCTGAGTAGACCTAGGGGAGGGGCCCTGTGGACCGGTGCAGATAATCAGTCACCGGTGTTGGTGGCCATGAGGAATCGAACTCGGGTCATAGCCGGGTTCGCAGCGCAGGATAGCGCTAACCGCTACACCACCGCGCCCCGTATCAACCCACACGCACGCACGCCATGGGGTAACTATAAAGTGACTAGCCTTTTGTCCGTCCAAGTATGGGTGTATTGCAGTAAATCTTAAACTTGCAAGCGAAAAGCAGACCGCGACGTGATATTCATTGCATCCATTCGTGTGCAATTTGTAAGGGCACGGTGACACAGACCTATTTCATTTTAAGGTTATAATCCCATGTTCATCATGACGTCCTTTTTACTTTGATGTCTCAACAGCGTTATGGAGATCGCGTGACGTGAGGGTTCTGCCTTTGATGTGAGGGTTGTAAGTTGATTCTTGATTTGAAGCTTTCGTGACTTCAGGAATCCATAAAGAAATCACGACGTTTCGGGTGCAACACAAGCGTTCATCATCAGGTGGGAAAGCATGGTCTGCTGCTGAGGCAGACTGTTTTAAAAGGTTTTAAATGGGTGTAGCTCAAGGGTCATAAATAAGTGGCCGGGGCTAGTGATGTTAATGTGATAAATCGTGCCAATTAGTTACTTCTCCAACACACAGGTGGGCTGAAGTAGTGACTAATTGGCACGTTTTATTAACGTGATAAACCATACTGGCTGTCGGGTGGTGGAGGGTTAACGACACATTTATATTTATCAAATAATACAGTGGCTGTGAGCAATTTAAAGGTATCGCATGTCAAAAGGTATATTGTCAAATGTATTTCTTCATTCTACACTGCTTTCTTCACAATATATTTCTAGTGCAAAAAGAGTCCCAGTTCAGAAAATGTTTGTTCTTACCTTTCATGTCACAATTTTTCAACTTAGGGGTAGCGTTACGCTTAAACAGTGCATCACTGATATTGAGACGTTCAGCCTGCACGCAGGATAATTGCGATAAAAAAAACAACGAAAAGTCACGTTAGGCTCTGTAACAAAGCGAAAGATCCAACGCGTAACTAAATTAATTGCGATTTAAAGCGTTCGTGACTGCAAGGATTCATCTTCTTGGTTCTTTCGGTAAAGTCACGTAGAATGAGAATAAAACAATAAAACAAAATAAGACAATAAAATTCTCACGGCGTTTCGGCCACAACACAAGTAGCCTTCTTCAGGTGAAGGAACAGAACTGTCGGGACGACAGCACTTCAATGAACGCTAAGATTCGCAGCGTCTTTTAAGCTAGGTGGGAGAAGTAAAGCGCCTTAACAAAGGAGTTTACATATCAAACAGGAGAATTTATCATTGAAATATCTGTGTTAAAGTGTTGGATCAGCAGGGAGATTAGCATGATGTTAATGTGAGAGATTAGCATGTGACTGGTCACGAAAATAGCTATGTTAAAGTCAAAGTTTACATATGAACAGAGGCATTTAGTATATGGACGCTAAAGGACTGCAACGACCCAACTATCATACAATAAACCGATGTGAAAAAACTAAGTATAAACTCCATCAATATAATAAATGTACTCAATATATTCTTCAATAAGTTGAGCTATTAATATAAAGTAACTGGGTACACACTACACTATATATTGAATACCATTTAGTAAACTAATAAAAAAATATAAACTACATCAATGTTTTGATTCAAAGCTTTCGTGACTGCAGTAATTCATATTCTTAGTTTTTTCGGTAAAGTCACGTTGAAGAGAAACAACAAAATAATAAAATATATATAACAATAAAAAATTCTCACGACGTTTCGACCATAACTCAAGCGGTCATCTTCAGGTGTTTCTCTTCAACGTGACTTTACCGAAAAAACTAAGTATATACATCAATGTTATCAATAAACTCTATATACTCTCCAATCAGCTGAGCTACTAACAATAAGTCGTTATACATTACAATGCCATATGGCGAAAAAAAATGGGTGGCGGTTTTTTTATTTTTCAACGTTAGCACCACGGACGACGGCGAGCTTTGTTCAGACGGACGAGTCCATCTATGCTCGGAACGGAGGAGGGGGGAAAACCAGCCACGATGCGCTGTTATACTCCATGTTATAAACCATACCATTAACCGTGGTGTGAGAGGCATTAATTTTATCGTCTTATTTTGTTTTATTCTCATTCTAAGTGACTTTACCGAAAGAACCAAGAAGATATCGTGTATTTGTATTGTGCTTGTTACGTTCTTACCCCGTGGCCCCTTAATGGGCATCTGTGAAAAAACAAGAGCTTTATATTCTTGGTTCTTTTGGTGAAATCACGTTGAAGGGAAACAATAAAATATATTGTTTTATATACTTTTACATATATTTTATTGTTTCCCTTCAACGTGACTTTACCGAAAGAACCAAGAATATGAATTACTGCAGTCACGAAAGCTTTAAATCAAAATTTAAAGAGCTTTATATCTCATCGAATTCCTCACACAGTTTAAGTAAATATTCAGATTCCGATCAAAACTGGGGGAAATTTACCATTGCAAAAACATGAACAATGTTTGTTTCGCGTCCTGTAGATGGAACCGAGTTACGAACTTGTTATTTATTTGCAGGCAATGAAGAGTTGACATTACAATCGTACTGACCTTAGATTTTTTTTGCTTTCTTTTACTCGACTCTGAGTGGTCAACTTTTAAAGCAGCAGTGCAAAGTTTCGCCTCGTCTGTTTCAAAGTCAGCTTTAGGGTTAGCTTCAACCACCACCGTTGTACCATCCAACACAGGATCATCCGTTGCAACTTCTTTTTGATCACCTTTATGAGATAAATAAAATTCAAGCGACTCATTGTGGTTTGGTGAAAAGCAGCCCTTGACTTGTAAGTGGAATGTTTGCATATTAACTCTTACGTAATTTTTCTCACCATTAATTGCAGCCTTAAATATGTCTTCATATTGCGAGTTTGTCAAGCCGACACAGCTTAATGTTTTCTCCATCTGAGGAAAAAGACCGCGTTAATAAAATTACTGGTAGCGAGGGTAACTTGCAAGGAATGAAAAAGTTTAACACACTGCAATTGTAACATTTTGATACGTCTCTTAGGCCTGACGCGTCATTCGGAAGGACATTATTTGAGTTAATCTTGCAAGGTTTGATAGTTTAAAACATTCTAACTTTCTAACAGGTCACAATTAAAATCTGCCTCAGGAGGTAACAAAAAAAAACGCTTCTTCGAATCCAATCATTTAATTTACTTTAATCAGACACCCAATTGCCATTTTTACTTGCTGAAGGAAGGCATTTGATTATATACAATGTTAAGCATCATTTTAAATGTCCGAGGTCAACATAAAAAAACAACGACACACCTCATCCCACGTCGTGAGGGGAAAAATATCCCAGACGGGCAAAGGTGAGGCAAAAAAAATTACGCGTCACCTGTTTATCAACTATCAAAAGCAAAACAACTCACAACCACCAACAGTGTAATTGTAATTATAAGAGCAGCACTCAGTTTAGTTAAGTCAAAATTTATAACAAAAATTATCTTCACGCTGTGACGGGAAGCCCAAGGTCCGTTTCGTCTGCGGTTAACAGTGGGGTATGGGCGGGGGTGGTGACGTCACGGGGAGGGGCTGCGTGGCGGTGACGTCATTTTCGCGCGCTTTTGCTCGGCTTGAAGCCGCGCGTGACGTCACCGCTCTGTATTTTTCCCGCCAAAATTTGTGTTTCTTCACGCTTCTGATATCCAAAAAATATATAACAATCTGTAATTACCGGCAAAACGTCGTGCGGTACCGGACTAAAATTGTAAATGTTTTGGGGGTTTACTCTCGTACCTGTCAACCCATTCAGGTCCATACGGCGTACAGCCGTTTCAATACGGGCAACAATTGTTTTTGTTAGCAGTTAATTTTCGACTCTCTGAGTTACATTCACTAACACAGCCACCGTTAGCTGTGTTAGTAAATGGCGGCTTGCCGTCCTTTTCCACCTCCATGTGGCGACGTTCCTTTCCGAGCTCTCTCCGAGCTTACATTGACAAGCAAATTTCTTACATTGACAAGCAAATTTCTTACATAGACATGCTAATCTCTTACATTGACAAGCAAATCTCTTACATTGACATGCTAATCTCTTACATTGACAAGCAAATTTCTTACATTGACATGCTAATCTCTTACATTGGCAAGCAAATTTCTTACATTGATATGCTACTCTCTTACATTGACAAGCAAATCTCTAACATTGACAAGCAAATTTATTACATTGACATGCTAATCTCTTACATTGACAAGCAAATATCTTACATTGACATGCTAATCTCTCACAATACAACAATGGCCACCCCCCACAGCTTCGTTTATCAAGATTTCCCCTATCTTACATTTACATGCAAATTTCATCTCTAGCCCCGCCCACTGACCCTTGGGCTACACCCATCTCAAACCTTTAACACATTCCTGCGGAGGGGGCTGGTAGGAACGTTGGTTGCTCGGTCAATGTCCAGGGTCAACGGCGGCACCACGTGGTGAATTCCGCAAATATGCCCGAGTGTGAGGGCGGGCACAAGCCGGCGTGAGTAGGTTAAACGTTGAGTTTTATAAGGGCACCACGGGGTGACCAGCCCCTCCCCACCCAGCCCCACCCCTCCCACCCCCCACCCAGCCCCACCCTCCCCACCCAGCCCCTCTTCACCCTCCCCACCCAGCCCCTCCCCACCCTCCCCTCTCCACCCAGCCCCACCCTCCCCACCCAGCCCCACCCCTCCCACCCCCCACCCAGCCCCACTCCCCACCCAGCCCCTCCCCACCCTCCCCACCCAGCCCCTCCCCACCCTCCCCACCCAGCCCCTCTCCTCCCCACCCTCCCCACCCAGCCCCTCCCCACTCAGCCCCACCCCTCCCACCCCCCACCCAACCCCACCATCCCCACCCAGCCCCTCCCTACCCTCCCCACCCAGCCCCTCCCCACACAGCCCCTCCCCACCCTCCCCTCCCCACTCTGCCCCACCCTCCCCACCCAGCCCCTCCCCACCCTCCCCACCCAGCCCCTCCCCACTCAGCCCCACCCCTCCCACCCCCCACCCAACCCCACCATCCCCACCCAGCCCCTCCCTCCCCTCCCCACCCAGCCCCTCCCCACACAGCCCCTCCCAACCCTCCCCTCCCCACTCTGCCCCACCCTCCCCACCCAGCCCCTCCCTACCCTCCCCACCCAGCCCCTCCCCACACAGCCCCTCCCCACCCTCCCCTCCCCACCCTGCCCCACCATCCCCACCCAGTTTTCTATCTACGTGGCTTTACCGAAAGATCCAAAGAATAACAATTGTTTTTGTCTATTTTTAAAAAATGTTTTTTCCTTGTGATAGGACTTCGTAGGATCAACGTTGTGATTTATAAGGGCACGGGGTGACCAATAAGGTCTTAATTGGTCTGTAATAAGCTAGGCACTGATAAGGTATGTACTCCAACACACCGGTGTGCTGAAGTAGTAACTCATTGGCACGTTTTTTTTTTCGTGACAATCCTTCCTAATTTAGTTGTGTCGGGTGGTAGCGGGTTTAACCACACATTTATATTTACGCGATCTAACGTAAAAAGAACTCGATTATGTAATGTTTCTATTTAACGCATGCATGGGTTGCCACCTGTCCGGATTTGACCCAGACGGTCCCGGATTTGGCATCCGTTTCAGCGGCAAGAGTTGATTTATACCCGAAATGTGGGGACATTGTGTTGCACATTTCCTGGATTCGCGTGCGGAAACGGGTGGCAACCCGAAAAAAAACCTATTAATCGCTATTTATATTGTACAGAACCATGATATTTATTTATGCTGGAGGAATCTGATGAGCTAAAAAGCTCTTTTTCCACAGATGTCCAGTAGTTTTCACAGATAAACTAGATTCGAAGCTTTCGTGACTGCAGGAATTACTCTTTGGTTCTTTCGGTAAAGTCACGTAGAAAGACATAAAATAATAATAGAATACGACATTTTGATTACAACACAAGCAACCATCATCTCCATATATTTAAAAGGCAAAGTTGAAAATATGTGTGTCTGTTCAAAATGTTTAGCGTACTTCCCGACATGCAACAAACTGGAAATTTGCCATTTAGGGAGCTTTCCAGACTGTACACCATGCAAAAATGATAAAAATACACTTTTTTTTGGGGGGGGGGGGGAGCTCAATAATGCATTTATTTTTCGCACGGCCGGTGAGCTGTAACGTCAAATCTGTCACGTGACCCACACACGTGGAAGCGTAACGCATTGTAGTGTAGCGGTTAGCGCGCTGTGTATGTGTGTGTGTGGAAGCGTAACGCATTGTAGTGTAGTGGTTAGCGCGTCGCGCTACGAATCCGGCGACCCGAGTTCGATTTCTGCTCACGGCCACCACCGGTGACGATTATTTTAACCGCTCCTGGGCCTCCCCTAGGTCGACTCAGCCTCAAACGAGTAAGTACTGTGGTGCGTCAACATCGCCACTGGCGAGACAAAGGCGGCCGGGCGTGGTGAATCCAAGTTCCGGGCGAAGCCGGGGTAGTCCAGCTAGTCAGGTATAAATGAATGAGAAAACAAACCTAGTGAACTTGGAAATATAATGTAATACAACACAAAGAGTCGGCTATCAAAGCAGTCAATATCCCACCTGGTTGATTAACGTTCTTCCAAAGATTGCTAAATTTGAGAGACAAAACACAGACACGGAGACAAACAGACAGACACACAAGCAGATAGAGAGACTCACACAGAGACAAACAGAGAGAGACACACATAGGCACACAGAAAGACAACGTCTCTGTGTCGAGGTCTTAAATAGAGAGAGAGAGAGGCTGGGGAGGGGGAATTGTGTGGAATTCCACACAACTCCCTCGACGTTTCGATTGCAACACAAGCAATCATCATCAGGTCCGAATGAATGAGAAAATAAACCTAGTAAGTTTTGATTTAAAGCTTTCGTGACTGCAGTGATTCATATTCTTGGTTCTTTCGGTAAAGTCACGTTGAAGGGAAACAATAAAATAATAATATATATAAAACAATAAAATTCTCACGACGTTTCGACTGTAACGCAAACAGTCATCATCAGGTGTGCCGTTGGTTTTTCACACCTGATGATGACTGCGTTACAGTCGAAACGTCGTGAGAATTTTATTGTTTTATATATATTATTATTTTATTGTTTCCCTTCAACGTGACTTTACCGAAAGAACCAAGAATATAAACCTAGTAAACTTAGAAATATAATTTTACTAAGTTTGTTTATATCAAGTGTGTTTTCTCTCTCTCTCTCTGTGTATTTGTGTTGTCTTTTTAGTATTTCCTGCAGTTTGTTTTCTCTCTCTCTCTCTACTTATGTGTCTGTTTTGCGGACTGAGATGACCGGTAAATGCACCGGTAAATGCGCCGGTAGATGTACCACCAGCCGTACCCAGCAATTGTGTCAAATAACCCCCACCACTACCATCACCCTTGTCAAACAAGCGGCTCCCTTATATAGAGTTGTGGGCGTGTCCTCTCACCGATGGGCGCGTTTCTACGCAGCTACGACGCTTTGCCCATTGGCTCCGATCGCAGTGACGTCACGCGGAGGGGTGTCGCCTCGCGTCATTGGCTGACGCTTCCGTGTTGCTTCCCCACCGCCCCCCCCCCCCGCTTCAGAATCCACCCCAAGCAGCGGCAGCAGCAGCGGCTAGTCGGACTGCGGAGTCGAACTCGAACGGCGGCGATCACTGATATACTCATGGCGTATCCAGGCTACGGACAGGTGTGTGTGTGTGCGCGCGCGTGAATGTTGAGCGTATGCGGTCCTTTGCAAGAAAGCAGTGATGTTTCCGCTATTTTAGTGATTTTTTTTGGGATCGGTTGCTGTGGGTGGGGGTTGTCTTCGTTGCAGTACGCGTGTTTGTTTTAATTAGGGGGTTTTGTAATGGCCGCCTTCTTGTCAAAGCGCGCTCTCTCTCTCTCTTCCCTTTGATGCTGACTCAGTGCCCGACTTCGTGGTCAACCTTCGTCATCAAATTGGGTTTTTTTTCTTCTCTCACTCTCTCTGGGTACGGGTAAATGGGTGGCTGCGTTAGTGCTTGGTTAGTTTCGTAAAACAGGGCTGAACTTGTGAGTTGTACACGTGTTGGGTTTTGCTGGGTTATGTTAGTCCTGTGTATTGGACGAGTAGTGCAGTGGTTACCGCACTGCGCTATGGAGTATGAACCCGAAAAAAGGAGTTTTATCAGTGGTATCTGAACCGTTCAACGCCTGAATGACCAGCTTGGTGAAGTATGGTCAAACCAAGCCTCAGAGTTTGACACTGCGTGGGGGAGGCCTGATAAGTTATTCGGGTTAGCCTATAGTCAAACAATCCTGGAATGCGCCGCATCAGATGTCGGTAGCCAAGCTATTGACGCCTGACGTGCTTGGATTTGCCACAACATTGTGTAACACAGGTGTGTCATAGGCTGCGATGGAGGTGTGGGAAGCCAGAGGGGCAAGTGCAGCAAACCCCATTGTACTGTCGATCCAATTCCCTCCGCCTTCGCCAACCTACACTGAATAGCATGGTGAAATATGATCCCAAAAAAAAATACCACCCACAGATCCACACGGTGCGAGGGAGGACCTCGTCCAGCAGTGGGGTTGACGTTGTGTTCGGTTGGACTGGGCTGGGTTTAGCTCGGCTGGGTGTGGCCCCAGTGCATAAGGGGAGCCAGACCGCTGTGGTATTCCAGCGATTCTGCTGGGCGCCTTCACCGACATCCTGTGTTGAGTAACTCTCCGTGATTCATGCATGCGTTGAACGTGGTGCCACAGCGTTAATCTTGTTAACGGGACGAAAATGTGTAAATCAAAGCGTTTTACTTGTACTGCCGGTTGGACAAAAAAAATCATTAAAGCGTAATGGTGGCTCTTGCCACTGGCCACCAAAGCGTCACAACAACGAGACAACATTAACTACAATAGTCTGAATTAAAATGCAAGATAATTCGGTCACGTTATTAGATACTGCTATGTACTGGAGAATGCCAATTGATGTAAAACCGGCTATTTATGTATATAGTGAAATTATTTTGTGTTTCTGGATTGGCTGACCTCAAAATATTTGGGAGTTTTGGGGAAAATGGCATGCCTCACACAACACCCGACATTTATAAACGAAGTGGTGCTAATGTTTTGGGATGCTTTTGGTACACTGGACTCGGAGTGACTACATGAATTTACAGCTTTGATTTAAAATCCCACAAGTTGTCATTGACGAGACTAAAATAAAAACGCTGACACTGCATGAGATCCTTTCCACAAAATGTCAGGGCTCCTAGAGCCCCGCCACCCTTTGGACCGGCCACTCCGTGGACACGTGTGCTTTGCGAACCGGCAAGCCAACTGGCCGTTGCAACGAACGCCCTTTAGTGCGTGAAGTGGATTCACTGGTTTTTCTGCATTCAACACCACATTGGCCCCCAAGCGCAGCCGGACGTGTAAAGCCAGGAATGAATATGGCCACGATTGTGGGGGAGGGGGGGGTCGGGAGGAGTGTGCAGGGGAAGATGCAGGTTTTCTTTCCACTATGTATACAGTATTCAGCACTGATGAAGCACGTACTGTGGGGGGGGAGGGTCAGGAGCCATGTTGCAGTGGTGATGGGGAGGGGTGGCATGCCAAGTCCCCTCTATCCTCCTGACATCGCTTTCTCGTGTTTTTGTGGAGTTGATGGTTTGTGTGGGACCGACGGCATTGGAGTATTTCACGCCATTGGATGTACCCCCCACCAAGTCGTATTCCTATTTTGTATTATTTTGGTCTATCGGTAAAATCACGTGGATAGGTTCAAATAAAATAACAAAAACCCTACGACGTTAAGATCGCTTGTGTTGCGGTCGAAACGTCGTGTTTTTTTTGTTATTTTCTTTGAACCTATCTACGTGACTTTACCGAAAGACCCAAAGAATTTGAATTCCTGCAGTCACGAAAGCTTTAAGTCACGATTTATTCCTATTTTGGTTAAGGCCCAGGCTTCAAACCTTAATTTGTTTTCTTTCTCTCTTTCTCTCTGCTTGACTGCATCTATCAACAAAATAGGTACAGTTAAACACGATAGAAGTACACATTTATTTGTCCCAACTATCAGTTTTGTTGTAGGCTCAGTAATTTTAGTTTTGCAATTGATCCCGACGTGTTGTGGGACCAGGTACGTTGAGCGAGTCCTTGAGGCTTAAGGTTTTTTTTTACCAATATGAGTGAGTCATATTTTACCACTTTCATAAGTGAGAATTGTATTTAATCTTTTGTAATGGTTATACATACCTGCCAACATATACGGTTTACCCGTATTATTGTACAGGAAAATTTTGTTTTCAGGACCACGTGGCATACAGCCGTTTCAAATATGGGCAAAAAAATGCGGCCAAATAATAAAAAGTGTATTGTTTAACCCGTCATTTTCTGTTTACTTTGTACATTTACAACATGAGTGTGTGTGCGCATCCACATATCAAGCAAGCATCAGTATGCCAGATCACAGACAGCATAATAAGTAGCATCATTAACATAAATAATCAAAATTAACAGATAAAACAGTTTTTGTTTCGTAACATCATTTTTGTCTTTGTTTCTCCCTTGTGATGGGACTTTGTAGGATGAACGTTTAGATTTATAAGGGCACGGGGTGACCAATAAGGTCTGAATTGGGCTGTAATAAGATAGGGCAGTGATAAGGGGTTGACAGGTATGGGTATATTTAATCTGAGAACAACTGTAATGGTTTTTTTGAACAGAAATAAAACGCTGTCGCAGCGTTTGGCGCACTGTACTGTGAAACCAGAAATCTGAATTTGGTTCCTGACCGTGGCTAACATCAATGGCAAGATTCCATCTGGCGTGGTCATGGCCCCACCTTGGCCGATCTGCAGTAAACCACCAGGGAGTAGGACTGTACAGTCAAACAACCCACATAGCAGGCATTTCAAATGAAGGCCTTCATCCAGCATTGGATTGGCATAGAGCTGTAAATGACTGATTTGATTATAAAGCTGCTTTTTCAGCATAAGTGTGAATCCCAGAGGTCCCATTCACGTGACTATACAGTGAAGGAAAAAAAGTATTTAATTCCCTGCTGATTTTGTACGTTTGCCCACTGACAAAGAAATGATCAGTCTCTAATTTTAATGGTAGGGCTATTTGAACAGTGAGAGACAAAATAACAACAACAAAAATCCAGAAAAACGCATCTCAAAAATGTTATAATTTGCTTTGCATTTTAATGACGGAAATAAGTATTTGACCCCCTCTGCAAAAAATGACTTAGTACTTGGTGGCAAAACCCTTGTTGGCAATCACAGAGGTCAGACGTTTCTTGTAGTTGGTCACCAGGTTTGCACACATCTCAGGAGGGATTTTGTCCCACTCCTCTTTGCAGATCTTCTCCAAGTCATTAAGGTTTCGAGGCTGACATTTGGTAACTCGAACCTTCAGCTCCCTCCATAGATTTTATATGGGATTAAGGTCTGGAGACTGGCTAGGCCACTCCAGGACCTTAATGTGCTTCTTCTTGAGCCACTCCTTTGTTGCCTTGGCCGTGTGTTTTGGGTCATTGTCATGCTGGAATACCCATCCACGACCCATTTTCAATGCCCTGGCTGAGGGAAGGAGGTTCTCGCCCAAGATTTGATGGTACATGGCCCCGTCCATCGTCCCTTTGATGCGGTGAAGTTGTCCTGTCCCCTTAGCAGAAAAACACCCCCAAAGCATAATGTTTCCACCTCCATGTTTGACGGTGGGGATGGTGTTCTTGGGGTCATAGGCAGCATTCTTCCTCCTCCAAACACGGCGAGTTGAGTTGATGCCAAAGAGCTCCATTTTGGCCTCATCTGACCGCAACACTTTCACCAAGTTGTCCTCTGAATCATTCAGATGTTCATTGGCAATCTTCAGACGGGCATGTATATGTGCTTTCTTTAGCAGGGGGACCTTGCGGGCGCTGCAAGATTTCAGTCCTTCACGGCGTAGTGTGTTACCTATTGTTTTCTTGGTGACTATGGTCCCAGCTGCCTTGAGATCATTGACAAGATCCTCCCGTGTAGTTCTGGGCTGATTCCTCACCATTATCATGATCATTGCAACTCCACGAGGTGAGATCTTGCATGGAACCCCAGGCCGAGGGAGATTGACAATTCTTTTGTGTTTCTTCCATTTGCGAATAATCGCACCAACTGTTGTCACCTTCTCACCAAACTGCTTGGCAATGGTCTTGTAGCCCATTCCAGCCTTGTGTAGGTCTACAATCTTGTCCCTGACATCCTTGGATAGCTCTTTGGTCTTGCCCATGGTGGAGAGTTTGGAATCTGATTGATTGATTGCTTCTGTGGACAGGTGTCTTTTATACAGGTAACAAGCTGAGATTAGGAGCACTCCCTTTAAGAGTGTGCTCCTAAACTCAGCTCGTTACCTGTATAAAAGGCACCTGGGAGCCGGAAATCTTTCTGATTGAGAGGGGGTCAAATACTTATTTCCCTCATTAAAATGCAAATCAATTTATAACATTTTTGACATGCGTTTTTTTGTTATTCTGTCTCTCACTGTTCAAATTAACCTACCGATAAAATTATAGACTGATCATTTCTTTGTCAGTGGGCAAACGTACAAAATCAGAAGGGGATCAAATACTTTTTTCCCTCACTGTAATTAAAAGGCAGGTGTGTGTAATACACATTACACCTCGATCTCTGGAGGCGTCTGAACCAGCATAACTACGTGGTTCTGCACGATTTTACAATA